ACTTTTTAAACTGCATTACCAAAGATTATTATGTTAGCACTTATACTAACTCTTTAAAATCGAATATGTCAATCTTTTTCGAATGGTTTTTATCATAGTAAAAATGAAATCTATTCAGAATTTCATCCGTATAGATAAAAAAAAATAAATATAGGGGGCATTATTTTCCACTGAATGATAGTGATAATATCTGACCGCTAATATTAGGCAACATTTGTCTCCCAAACAAATCGGATGAAATTAAAGTTTGGAAGCATAAAGTGCTTTTTTCACAGACTATACATAAAAATAAATTGTAAAATTCCATTCAGTCAGTGCTTATGCAAATATGGTGGGAATTCAGTACATATATTGGTTGTTGATGGACTATATAGAAGGGAAATTCCTCGTTAATAATAATAGTTTCATTCTCAAATAACATCTTTTTACAAGTATCACGCAGATTTACAGGCAAGAACAAAATGTTGGGAGTGCTAACATATTTTCTGTAAAATATTCGGTTACGTAATTATTTCAAAGAATCCATTGGCTTCTTATAGATGGCTAAAATTATTCACATAAAATTATTGATAATGATGCAGACTCTGGAGTGCACAATACATTAGTTGGCGCGAGTTAAGACGAACCCTTAATGGTTGAGAACCAACGCAAGGCAAATCCATGTGTACATATAACAGAAATTGGTCAGTTAAGTAGGTGAGTATACCAAGTACCTTGCAATTGATGTATAATGCCAAATTTAACTCATGAAAAGTAGATTCAAAGAAGGTTTTTAGAGGAAATCCTAGTCGTTTTGAAACAGCCTCATCTGACTGTTCAATAGTAACTTATAGTAACAGCACTGAATATATTCTGTACAAACATGATAGAGAGGAAATCTAGGACCTATCAAGGTGAATGAGGTACTGGGGACTCCTTGCAGCGCGAGAGGATGATTATATTAGAGTTGTGTTATCTGAGTTCAGGGTTTTAATCATAAAACGGCTGTCTTCCTAGACAAGAATATCATCAACATTAACTTCATGTGGAAGTGAGCTATCTGAATTTCAGTTTATATGATATGATCGAAACACAAGGTTCAGAGGATGAAATTGAATGAAAATGAAGTTGTTCACTTATCAAGCAACAAAACGGTACTGTTCGATGGCAAATTTTCAAACTGGTACGTAAAAATATCAAAGTATTTGAATGAACGGTCATCAGAAATTATGCACATGATTCTTCAAGTTCCTAGTTCGCATTTTTCAACGGGTAACAGAGACTGGTAATAACGAGGCAAAAACATTGCTGGTGTAGGGACACCACGACATTTTTATCAGTAATTTGCGACAAATACTTTGTTGTTCTGTGAAGAGAATTATGTAATCTTGGATGTGGTTTTGTTTACGAAATGATATAGATCGGAAAACCACTGAAAATCAGGCATTTCTACACAGTCACGGGCGATAAAGCATCAATTACATTCTAGTTTTTTCTAATATGTATGTACATATTCCATCAGAATGAAAATGACTGAAGTATTTTTAATTTGCTTATATACATGTATATAATACTTTACAAGAGACCTTAACGATTAATTTCTCTCATTGTCACACAATATGTATATCGGATTTGTTTGTGCACGGTTTGTTTGCTGGCACAATGAAAAGTTTATTTTTGGAAGGCAATTACAGTCTGATTTCCTTCATGTCCAGTAAACAGTGAAAAGCAGAAAGGGACCATAACTATATATTTTTACTATGATTATTCGTCATATTACGCCCAAGTGTAGAAAGAAACAATCAGACACGGCTGAACGAAACAAGCCGTCAACATATTGATAATCAGTTTCATGTGGGTTGGGTTTTAGCCTCTGGCTGGTCATATCTTGGATCCATTACACCCGCACTGAATGGAGAATGAGCGGTAATGGTAAATAAATGCACAACATAAACAGATCGGTAAGTCTTCGACAGTGATGCTGACCTAACCATTTTAAATGGACGGTCCCTAGCTGTAGGCTGTCGGACATGTATCCTCACTAGTTCACCTCTGGGAAAGTCGTACAAAGCTTCCGCTCGCATCAACTAGCCAGCGTAGTTCACTCGCTCCCCACCATCCTAACCATCCTCCAAATAAGCCTCTATTTTCATTATTGACTTCTTGTTTGACTAGGTCTGAGTATACTCTATGCAAAAGATGATGGGGATGAAGGCGTCCTCAAACCATGAATATCCGAGACATCGACATTTGTGTGAAAGTGGCTGTAGCTTGGCTACCATTAATAAATTACCTCAGTTGTTATTGATCTCAGCTGAACGATCGAGCTATATTATTGCTTAGAATTCTCTGATATTGTACACAGTTCCACTAGTCCAAAAAATGAGGACGCTACTTGAACAGATAGTTATTATATTCTAACAAACCAATTTAAAATGAGGACGAATAATAGAAATAAAGACACTAGCTTATTTATAATTTACACAAATGAACAATCTAGGGCCTTCTCTAGACATTCACTAGCTCCGATTGGCTGAGAACGCACGAATCATCGAGGCATAAAATAGCCCGGATTGAATGTGTTTTGATTCCATCCATGTCCTACCAACACTAATGGTCGTCGATGTCCGCGTTCATAGCTTAAAGTAATAAACTTGGCACGTTTTAAACTAATATAAATGTCCCCGTAACTTAAAAATAATAATGTATGAACGAAGAATATCGTTTTCAATAAGTTTTACCGATATATATCCAAATAAATTACCTAAATAAAATGGGTGTTTTTAAGGTAAAAAGCCTCTCATCAATTTATAGTATACATAAAGTTGGGATATTTTGTGAAACTAAATAAAATTGCTAATGTTAAGATGAAAAGTTTATGAGTAGTAACCTGAAAGTGTCGTCGATGATCAGAATAAATATGGATCGAATAGGGTGAGGGAAGTAATAATCTGGTCACCCAGCATTATTAGCAAATAACAAACATCAAATATAAACATGGAATATAACCTAAAGTGTCATGACTTAAACCAAATAGGCTCAACTACAGGGACGATGTCTCCCTAAAGACAAGTCGTATTAAGAGCATTTAATTGTTATTAGATTTGTGACAGTTGTAAACAGAAAATCCCAGTTAACTGCAAATACAAGGTTTGCTTTACAGAACTAACGGGTCAGGGTACTAATAATATTTTCATCTGAAGTCATCTTTAGTTTCGAATCCCATGTGTGCATTGTGGTTTTAATGTAATCAGGAGTACACTCGAATAATTCCACCCTAAAGTCTGGTCAGGTTACCTTATATGACAAGTTATTTGTGCATCCTATAAATACTACAACAACTCGGACATAATCACTCTGTTTAAAGTTCTAGTTACTTCCGGTTCTGTACCAATGGAATTATTATGCCTTATAGCAATATGTTTATCATTTAAACATCATTAGGGTCCGAGACAAACTGAAATCCTCTCATAAATATTGACGTGCCTTCACTTGAAGCTTAGATCAAAGGAACGGTCACCAAGAAAGATTGCGAGCCACGTTCTGAATCGTATCCTAATTTGGACAACTTCCATTGCGGTTACAGGTGTAGGATCCTATTTAATTCTCACTATTCATGTTGATGATAATCAGGCTTTGCTGAATGTCTGAACAAATGCTGCACTGAACTTTACTTGGACTCTTACTACAAGAACTGACTCTGGTCATCAATTCTACTAACCCTTTTCTCGAAACTTCGTGTCGAAGTAATTAAGTGAGAATTCCCAAACAGGCACCGTTTTCTGGCATCGTAATTGATGTCATGAACAAACAGTTGTACTAATCACATACTTAGACTAGACTGACAGATGAACTTGCTTCATTCAACATCTTTGCGATCGTTTTCGTCAACGAATGTGATGCGGTTCAATCTCATTGCGTTTGAACACTCTTGGAATGCAAACTTGCACATAGACACTTCATTCAATTATAAATTCTCCAGGAAATCGTACTTTTAATTATAGCGTCAATCTATAACCTGGTTCAGTAATTTTTAATAGAAAAAGTTCAGATAAACACACAATCATCTATACAGGACGTAGAGACTACGATACGGTCATTAGAATGCCCTATGCGACTGAAAAACCGTTCACGGCCAGTTCCCACAGGACTGGTGAACTCAATTTAAGCAACCATTGTTTACAATCCCGATTCTACCGTAGAGGAACACCAGGAGGTGAGACATACAATGAAGTTCATCTCTAACAAAGTAGGAAAGTGAAAGTTAAATTGGGAGAGATTAGAAACATGTGCTAGCTGAAACAAAGCTCTCCCACTACATCGCGGATGACGAGTTGAGCAGGCAAGGTTTGATACTGTTCCAACAGGATAGTGTAGCCAGCCCACTGGAATTATAGCTTCAAGAGGAGCATAGACAAGCACATACTCATGGACTACGGTCTCCATCTTGAGTAAGTTGTGCTCAATGCATGTCTTGCAGTATGTCTGACGCGATCCTTATTATATATAACTTGTTTTTTACTTTCTCTTTTCCCTCTTTTATCCATACACTTAAGTCTTCTCACAAGATTTGGACTGCTATTTATTAACTCGTATTATCAACACAGTTTCTGAAGATTCCGTCTTCTACTTAGTGTTAACGTTTTAGATCTGTTATTCGCCACTTTTCTGCCAACTGATAGCCGACCTCGTGATATAACAGCTCCTGGTATTCAGAAACCCGATCTCCCTGAGATAAAATGAATCACTGGAATTATGACACCCAAGTTAATTAATAGCTACCAAAATGACTAAGATTAGTGCAGTTAATTGACCAGCTATTGGAAATTAGAAAACAAATGGAACTTCAATGAAAGAACAAGAACTGAGAGCGAAGAAATACATCGGCATATATTAGCTCGTGAATAAGATAGTGGATAATGAAGACGACCTTCATACGTCCGCAGAGCGCTATGTTCGGAGTCTCTGCACAGTTTTTTTGATTTGTGATTTTTATTATACTTTGGTTGAAAATACCAGCAATGGAGTCGGCAGACAACCCATTTGCCTCACTTGTGAAAAATACACCAGTTGGTAATGTTTTTTATTGCTTGCTAAGAAATTTCTCACCTAGGTCTGGGTCCAGCAATTTTCGGAGCCTGTGAAACTGAAGTTACTAAAATCTTGGAAAACATACTTCTTGTTACTCATGACAAAGGTGTGGTTCTAATTAAATTTTTAACCTTTTAAGCTCTTGTTCTTGGTGAATCCGGTAGACCCAGTTATCTACTCTATATTAAACCTTTTCTGGGTGGTAGTGTACAAATTTCTAGTAGCAGTCTAGATGAACTTATATTCGACCGCACACAAATGAGAGAGTTCAATGACTATGATGTAGTGAGTCTTAATACGGGGTCGGTGACAGATATCAATGATGTTTTGGCTTCCAGTCCAATTAGTTATTTAGTTTCTTCTTATCACCGTGCATGTACAATTAAACAAACAAATGCCGTAAGTAAATTTTCAAAAATACTTTTTAATAATAAATTATATAATATTTTTGTGTCACCCGAACCTTGAAAGTTGAACTGTTGCTTCATCGCCTCCGTTTGTTGCTTGAAGCCAAGTAGTATTGTGTTACGAAAAACTTGTTTTTGTTAACTTGACTTGAAGTTAAGCTAAGTTTACTTTTAGTCGAGTCCTTTTTAGTGTGATGGGTGGATTGCTACTTTAGATAATTGAGATATATTGATCGTTTTATGACTAGTTTATGTGAATTCCATTAGTTGGGCCGTTTGCGATGCTGTCCAGGTACTGTACTCCGTTTCTTCCTTAGCCTCTCAATTTTTCATCTTACTCTGGTTATAAGGCTCATGTTTAATCCCCCTAATTCATTCCAAGTTGTTTAGGCCGATGGGGACTTGTAAGTTGCAGGTTGGATAACAATAACCATTTAGTGAAACTTTTCACGGACTACAATATGTTACTGGCTAGTGCTCTCTGTATAGTTATCTCAGATGTGCTACTTAGTAAACAAAAATAACTGTTTGTACGCAGTGAAGTTCATTTCTAATCACTCTTTATAACCATTCCTGTGTCAGTAGCTACAGTAAATATCGTCCTACTCTATTCTATCTCTGTCATTTATTCCGAACCCACAATATTACCATTAGTACTAAATTATTTCTTTTGATTATACATTAGTACTATCGTGTGCCTTTTGTATTGTTAGCTTTCACAGGTCGTTGAAGATTGTCGCAAAAGTATTGTAAGGCAAATCGTACTTCTGTTGCTTGTTGATGCTGAGTCTGACAATCCTGAAAGCAGCACGAACTTATTTAATATCATTTATCAAGCTCTCTGTACAGGTATGTTAATTTGATGTCACTTTTAGATTGTAAATTCTACCTTTTTGTTTTGGAGTTTTGCTCAGTACACGTTACTATCATAAAATTAACTTCGAACTTTTTACACCAGTTTTTATTATTTTGACTAATAAGTGCTTTTAACTGTTTAACTTTAATCGAAGATGATTGCGATCAAATTGTACATATTCAAACAATGTTTGACGAAGTTCTTAATCATCTGGAATCAGAATCCTTATCGGACGTAAGTGTGTCAGAATCCTGTCCACAGTCTGCATTAAACAGTTTACGACCGTTGGTCAACTGCCTTCTGATTCAACTGAAAAATATTTGTTACTCCGCAGTACAGTCACCGACAACACCAAGTAGCCTCCTAAATCGGCAGTTAGTTGGTGCTAGAGAACGTGCCTTATTCTGTCCTCAGCGCCGTCCTCTCTTGATCATGACAATTGGGTTATCAAAACATTCAGTCACTGCTCAGGTATGTTCATTTGAAGTTATTCAGTACATCTGATATTTTGATTATAAGCGTTAAACGGTGCTGTTAGACCACATAAAGGCATTGATATATTCTTCTAATGTGATTATGCTAATCAGTAATTGGTCGTATATTTTCGTAATAAAAATGGATTCTAGACTTTTAACTTGTAAATATGTTGTTTCTTACTTATTAAACAATACTAGATTGATCGGTTAGCTACTCAGTTACAATGTATAACTCGGTACGTACTTACATCAGTTCAAGTTGCCATTAGCACAAAGAGATGGAATTGTCAGTTTAAACTCCATGAGAGTAGAGGTAGTAGTGGAAGTCGCCATGTCAAAATGTATTCTTCTTTATGCTTAAGGCGAGTATTTGCTAGAAATGGGTGGTTGTATAAGCGTGCATGCAGCAGACAATCGCCATTGTTTGTTCTTTGAGTCGCGATACCTTAAGATCCACCTTGGTGTCTTTCACTATCGCTTAATCTACCTACTTGAGCATTAAAATCACCAGCCACGATTTCTATGTCTTTACTATATCTTTTACCTCGTCCCAACTGCAGTCAGTGGGAGCGTAGGCAGAAACAAAACTCCGCCTGTAGACCCTTCGGGGCTACTTCCGGTCCCAAGCCCGGATAGAAGGAGGAGGGTTGAGATTGAGGTTGACGACCCCATCCCATAGAAAACTAACTCGCTAAGAAAACTCTAACAAGAAAAAATAATTCAAACTATTCAAACTGCTCTGGGAGTTACAAGGTCTTCATTTAGAAAAGTTTTGACGTCTCATGACGAGAGCCCAGTTCCTTCGGAAGTCATGAGGCCGACGCCCCTACTGACAATCAGAACCCTTCCATGGTGTAGGCAGCCGGAAAGTAACATCCGCCCTCACCCATAAAAGTACACGAGACAAAACTGGTCACGATCAAATCCCTTCTACACCTCCTAATAACCAGCCCTTCTTTCGATCGTTTGTCACCTCGCGCCGTTGAAGCAAACAATTCGAGTTCACGAAACATTATTCCCGGTCTCTTTAAACCCAGTACTAAATTTCATATTGGAGCTTTTAATGTTCAAACCATGTATCAAATAAGGCAACAGGCTTCATTAGCTAGAACTCTGGAATCCCGTGCAATCGATATATGTTGCGTCTCCGAAACGTGCATACAAGATCTGAGTAAAATCATCAGTTTGATTTCACCTTGTGCAGATAGAAGAACAACACGGTTTACGCTTCGTGCATCGGAAAGCCTTGCTGCTGCTTCCCGTGGTCTCGCTGGTGTAGGTGTAGCATTGAGTCGTAGGGCAGAACTAGCGCTCCCAGACTGGATCCCGGCAGACAGTCGCTTATGCGCTGTCCGACTAAATGGGCCGGTACGGACTCGGAAAGATAGGGACACGCCGTAGCCTTTTTTATTGTCTCTGCCTACGCTCCCACTGACTGCAATTTAGACGAGATAAAAGATGAGTTTTACAGGGACTTTTCAGAAGGTTAAGCGCTCAGATATAGTAGTGATGGCTGGTGACATTAATGCTCATGTAGGTAGACTCAGTGAAAATGAAAGACATCTGGGTGGATCTTAGGGTGTCGCGGCTGATCGAACAGATAATGACGACCGTATGCTTCAGCTATGCTCAGATAACCACCTGTTTCTAGCAGACACTAACTTTGAGCATAAGGAAAAACATCTCTTGACCTGGCGACCCCCTAAGCCGACTCAACGATGGACCTAACTAGATCACATCGCTGTAAGCCATCGGTGTAGAGGCTCTATTGAAGACTGCCGCTCATTCTGGAGCAGTTGTTTAGACTCAGGCCATGCTCTAGCGCAAGCGCGTATTTGTTTGAGGCTAAGTGGACGTAGGAAAGACACCACAAGAAAACCTCTCAGGGTTCTACTTAACGACAATAAAGCTAAGAATATATTTCAGGAACAACTAGAAAAACAGTTAGGCAGCCATGTAGTAAGTGATGCCCACCCTGAGGCAGCTTGGAATGATATCAAAAAGGCTGTGGAAACAGCAGTGATATCTGCTAATGAGGTTAACCATAAGGCTAAAATGAAGCCGTGGATCTCAGTGGCATCCACCGAACTGACAGATGCTCGAAAGCTCATCCCGCCTGGCTCTGAGTGCGATGAGGAGCGGAGTCAGCTTAAGCGCAGGCTGATAAAAAGCCTATGCAACGATCGCGAACAGTAGTGGGTAGCGAAAGCGAGAGAGATATGGAAAAGGCAGTAGCGATGGGCAACATTAGACTATTGTTGAGACTCATCAAGTAAACCGGTACAAAGAATCCGACTGTGAGGCTATTTCGGAAAAGGATGGTCTTATTATTCATCCTCAGTCAAGGAGATTGGGTCGGTGGGCAGAACACTTTAGGGATCAGTTCAAATGGCCTTTAGCCACGATCACCAGTCAACCTGAATGGCAAATCGACGTAAGTCATCCGACTCTTTTTGCAGTTGAGAAGGCTATAGGAAATCTGAAGCGAACAGAGTAGCGGGTTCATATAGATTAATACCTGAGATTTTTAAAGGTGGTGGTCCAGTTTCAAAAGTTAGGTTGACTGAGATCTTAGGTAGAATCTGGGAACTGGACGTAATCCCATCTGACAGGTCTCAATCACTGATCGTTCCAATTTAGAAGAAAGGACAAAAGTCTTCTTTTGACAATCACAGGGGAATAATTCAAAGTAATATAGTGTCTAAACTTCCAGCCTCGATTATACTTAGACGCCTAACTTGAGCTTGTGAAGAACAGACTAGAGAAAACCAGGTTGGTTTCAGACCAGGACGTAGCTGTATAGACCACATCTTCACATTACGACAGGTCCTCGGACACAGACACAATTAGACGTCCGACAGCAGTTGTCTTCCTGGACCTTAAGGCGGCATTTAACTCTGTTGATCGCTAGGTTCTGTGGCAATGCCTATAATTAAAAGGTGTTCCAGAGAAGTACATTAACCTTATACAAGCTCTCTACTCGAACACTACAGCTCGAGTGAGAGCTTATGGCGAACTGTCATCGGAATTCTTTACTTCGAAGTAGTGTCCGTCAGGGGATGTCCACATTCCCTGTTCTAGTTTGATTTCGTAATAGACTTAATTTTAGAGATGCATCTACTCTTTGTGTTCTCTATAATTCTAACCTTCTGAATTCTTGATAATATCTTTCTCCTAACTATCTCACTGATTTGTACTTCTCGAATCATATCTTCGCTCCCTAATCTCCATTACTGCTAATACTTCTACTATCGCTATCACTTTTGTATTTGAACTGACAGTTGCGTCTCTGTACTGATGTGGTATGGCAACCTGAACTGATGTACTTACGTACGAAGTTCTGCGTTGTATTTGTCTGTCTGTCTGCTTTTAGAGATAACATTATCTTCGTCTGAATTTTCAGTAGACCTTCTGCTAGGAGATTTATTGGTTGACTTAGAATATGCCGAAGTTCCACTTTGTAATTGACTGACTGAGGCAGAGACAACGAAGAGGCAACGGTGAATCTCTTTCTTTAAGATTTCTTACCTCCCCGTCTTGTTGGACAGTGCATAAGCGACTATGTACTGGGATGCAGTCTAAGAAAGCTAGTTCTACCCTAGGACTTGATACTATACATAACCCAGCGAGGCCCTGGAGGTAGCAGCAGGGCTTCCAGATACACGGAGAGTAAATCGAGACGGTTCTTTGTTTTGAAATTGTAATGTTAATCGGGTAACTGTATTCAAATCCTGTATTCGTGGTTTGGAGACAGCATATATCGATGGTGCGAGATTCTACAGTCCTAGCTAAGGAAGCTTGTTGTCCTAGTGGCACAAGGTTCGAACATCAAAAGCTCCAAGATGTAGTTGAGAACGTGTTTTCAGGAGGCTAAAAATAATATTTCATGTAATCGAATCATTAGAATTAGCTACTCTTGGTGATAAAAATATCCGATAAGGGTTAGTTGTAGGTATAAGATGTAGTTAGCTCCGGGGGGGGGGTTGATCGTGAATAAGTTGATTTTGTGTGCTGTTAGGAACATGGAAGTGTTTGTCATTCCCCGGTTGCTCAGACCGTGAAAGGGAATTTTTTAGTTGAGGAACCTTGATATAAAAGCTGGGTTAGTGTTGGTCTTAATGATCTAAGACTCACAGCGAATTTGCCTAATCTTATTAGTTCCATTTTTTTAAACTACACATATAAACATGTATATTATTTGTTAGCGCTTAAAATCTTTTCATACCAATATGTTTGTTTTTTTTACAGCTGCTTATTGAGTTGTCGTTTCCTCAAAATTTCCTCACTGGTTCGTTTAGGCCTGATGAATTCGAAGGTGGTATTTTGGGTCGACTTCTAGTTCCTAGTCATTTGCATTCACCTCAACCAGCAGAAACAATATTTTTAGCTAGCCAAGCCCCAATAGGTGAATTTTTCACAGAAGAAGTACCTTTAAAAACAGTTGTCGAGTCTGAACAACGTACAATATGGCAGGTATGTTACCGACATTTATGGTATTCATGAGATATTTTCGTAGAGTTTTTTCACAGTACACTATCCAGAGATTAACTTACTTTAAACTATAATGATGTTGTTATGATACTCATGGGGTTGCTATTATGTTTACTGGTTATTTACTAAAAGGTGATACAATTGTCGTTGAAGAATAATAATAGTTTTCCAATTATACCGCGCATAAGCTTTTTTAACCTCACTACATGAAGTATTTCTCTGTGCTCTGTTTGGTGTCAACTTTGTACTATTAGCAGGGTAGTATTAGGTATACATTATTCAGCTTACGAATCTAACGATTATTCACTAATTCACAGGTTCAAACCATGCCCCGTATAATTTGTACGATCCTTCTGTGTCATTTTAGAAGGTGTAGTTGTACGGGTGAAAGTATGTTTTTGATGTTTTATGGTTCCAGTTAGAAGGCACCAAACAAATTCCATACCTGATGACATAAACTTTTCACCTACTAAGTGCAAAGCACTTTTGCAAGACTGTCGAACGCTGTGCATACATGCACTCACTCGTCTTAGTAAACAGTTAGCGGTAGTTGAAAAATTCTCGTATCTGGGTATCTATGTGTATTCTGGTGGTGGCGTAAGTGACAAAATCTATTTATTTATGATGAAGGATATAGTGACTTCTATCTATCTCGGCCATCTTTGTTGCAGTCTTGATGTTAGTTTGACTGTAAAAGGTTGGGTTTACAATGCGTCGAGAGCAGTTTTGCCCGATGTTTATGAAACCTGGTCTCTCTGAGTTGAAGATATTAATAAACCTCGTGTGTTCAATCACCACTTTCTGTTACCTCTCTTAGAGCATAGGCCGCCGACTAGGATTCTTCAACCTACTCTGTCCTAGGCCTTCTTTTCCAGTCCTGTTCAATTGGTTTCCATTGTTTTGATATATGTTTCCGATTCGCGACGTAATGTGTTCTTTGGTCTTCTCCTTTTCCTTTGTCTTTGAGGATTCCTAGTTAAGACTTGAATCGTAACGCAGTTGGGTGATTTCCTCAATGTTTGTCTTATCTACCTCCAGCGTTCTTCCTAATTTTTTACTCAGTTGAAATCTGGTTTGTTCTCTCCCACGTTAGGTTGTTATTGATGGTGGCTGGCCAACGGACCCGAAGTATCTTGCATAGACAACTGTTTATAATTACGTGTATCTTTTGAATGATGGCTTTTGTAGTCCTTCAAGTTTCCGCTCCACACACTAGAACTATCTTAACGTTTACATTGAAAATTGTGACTTTGTGGTCAGTTAACATTTATTTTGGGTTCCAGATGTTCTTCGATTGTAGGAATGCTGCTGATGCTTTACCAATCGGTGCATGCACATGCGCATCGGATACTCCTTACTTATCAATGACGCTACTCAGGCATGTAAAAGTTTTCACATTTTTCGGAGCTCCTCCATCAAGTGTCATTTGGTTAATGCTTGATGCATTTTATTGTAGGACATTGCCTTTTTCATTGTTTATGTTGATGTTTACTGCTGCAGAGGCTGTTACTACACTGGCCGTCTTCACCTGCGTTTGTTGCTGTGTCTAGGATAGAAAACCTATGGTCTATGGAACCCAAATCTTTTAGCTGCATCTGAGCTGTCCACTGTGTTTCGTGCTTCCCCTGAGATGTTGATGACTTCATAATTCAGTCAATCTTCAGAAGAAAGATAACGAGAGAAAGAGATTAAGCAGCTTTGTCTGACACCGATGTTTACTTAGAATATGAGTTTGTGAGCAGCCCTCAATGCACGATTTTGGAGTTTAATCCATCATAAGAATTCTGTATGATGTTGACTATCTTCTTAGATACCCCATAATTTCGTAAAAGGTTCCATTAGTTTCTCCAGTCCACACTATTAAATGCTTTTTAATAGTAGGGAAAGTTGGTCTAGTGATGGGTCCCGTAATGTTTCGACTTGGTAGCTACACGATCTGTTCTTACAAAATCCAGTGTCAACCTCAAAAATAGACGTCTACGTCATCTTTCACTCGGCTAGACATTACTCTATTGTAAGCTTTTCGTGATACAAAGAGTAGTTTTACGTTTCTAGTTTTCACACTTGCCAAGATATCCCTTTGGTATCTTTATGAGGTGTCGTTCTTTCCAGACTGTTGTTACTTGTTCTTCCTCGGAAACTAGTTTCCCATTAGATGAAATAGTATAATTGATTGAAAGGTTTTTACCTTGTTTCTAAACAAAGATTTTCAGTATTTTTCAAATCGGCCATTAACAAAGTTATAGATTGATTCTTTAATAAGGCTTTGTCACTTTAATACCGAAATTCAGTGTACTCTGCTTGTTCTTACCTCGGTTAGTATTGCATGTTAGGTGGTGCGCATATGTGACTGATTGATAGTTCTAATACCTCCACTACTATGGGATTTAAAGTGACAATTCTATATCTCCGTGCTAATGTGATATGGCAACCTGAACAAATGTACGTTAGTACGAAGTTCTACTAACTGACTGTTCTGCTTGTGTAGCACTGATTAAAATCTTTACATTATTACGATTTTTCCTTGTTCTCATTCTCCTGTTGATCTGTCTTACTTAACTAGAAACATTATATTATTAATCACTGTCTGTTTTATTTAAATTATTTTTTTTAGTTAACTGAACAAATGGATATAGAATTGAACACACTATTCACTAATCTACTCAGGGTTGGTAAACGACGTCCATTTATTAAAAAGTTATTATTTCAATGGTTTGGTGGATGTATTCATGCTAATAAAGGTTTGTTTTTAGTGTTTTGTGTTTTTCATTATTTAAACACTTTTACTTATGAGTATTGATATGTATTCAGTTTTAATTCGTGGTGAGAAGCTGTAATTTTGTTAGAATTGATCTTTTTTTAAAAATCTAAATCTATATTTAATTAGTTCTGTTTTTATTATCTATTTGTACATACTTTTGGCAAAAGTTCAGAAGTCATGTATGCTTACTCAATTAATACTTATGAAGAAAGTCAGTCAATTACAGCGTAGAACTAACTACACATGGATACATAAGTCCAGATTGCCGTACCGCATCAGTACAGAGATGCAACTGTCAGTTTAAATCCCATAATAGTAGAGATATCAGTAGAAGTATTAACAGTAATGGAGAAGATTACGGTTCGAAGTTATGATTCAAGAAGTAGAATCCAGTGAAATAAATTTAGAAAGAGAAAGATAGAGGTGATGACGAATTCAAAAGATCAGGATTTAAGAGAATACAGAGAGTGGACGTACCTGCACCATTGCAAACGATTTTGAGCCATTTCGTCCAGGGTCTCTAACCATCGACTATTAGCATCTCGCGGACCCCAACCACGTAGTTGACACCTACCAACATAACTCAGTCCACTTGTTAGTGACTTCATAGATTTGTGCCATGTTTTGGTTTGGCCACCCCTAGCTTTCTTCCAACCTACTCCTACACCATAAAACATAGCTCCTGAAGAAAACTATATTTATATAACATTGTGTAAAAATATAAGGCAAAATCTACAATATTTCAAATTGTTGATATTCAGTTTAGTCAGATTATCTACTCAAGTACACCAATCTCACTGATATGAGTATATATTATTTGCTGATAGGGATTGTTCCTATCATTTAGTTCATGTAAATAATATTGGTTTTTGACCAACAGTTTTCATTTTTGAGGATAGTTTACGTCACGAACTGAAAAATCATAGGCATTAAACGGCTAATTTACCTTAATTGGAGATTCTTCAACAGTACACGCTCATAACTTCACACAGGGTTATAGCCACGTCCATCATGTTTAACAGCTTGCTCAATACCTCTAGGTCACTCACTGATTTACGTTTCAATAGTCCAAATTTCAAACTTCAGCCAATTTACGATATAGAGTCACAATGGTGCCGGTGGTACTTTCTGAATCTTTTTTAATCGTCTTTAATCTTCAAATAATTTTCGGAAGTTCATCTCAACTCTAATCAATAATGATTACTACCACAGACTCCTGAATTTCGGAAGAACAGGTATCCACTATTTTCTGTTTTCCATCTGATACCAGTCGTGGACAAGAATTATAGCTAAAGTAAATTACAAATCACCGAACCCAAGAAATTTTATCCTTATTGAAATGATGTTATTTCTGTGCTTAATAACAAGTTTTTGATATTATTAGTAGTTTAAAATATATGCACAAACATGATAAGTGATTTGTATTGGCCTTTGGCCTACTTTTTTTAATCTTTCATGTAAGTGATGATAATCTGTGATTAAATCTTCAGGTTAATTTACTGAATGATTTTCTTTATTGTATTGTTGTTGACCTTCATATGTGATTATCGTACTGTTTTGTACTTGACAATCAATATATCGATTATATTTTTATTTTATTATAAGATTTTGAAGATATAGCTTATTCATTCTATAGAGTCTTACTCCGTAAACTGAATGTAATTAAGGAGCCATTTATAACCAGGAAGTACTGCACATCTGTTACTCTGTGGTATCGAACTCCTTGGAAGTAAGCACACATGAGCATATCTAAGATCAAATCTGGAACCATTTGACCTCCTAACGAGCCCCCCCCCAGTCTTTTAAAACACTGAGTTGACATCCAATGGGTTATATTTCTAACTTCATTCATTTGTTCGCTATACTGATTTTATTGATTTAAACTGCAATTATATTGTTTAACTTGATATATATGTGTCATATGATGTGTGTTGGTAAGAATGTTTAAAGATAATTTTGTTTTATTTGTTGCTTGAACCGAGTATATTTTTAATTTTCTCAGGTTCTAGTTTATTCTTTAAAAAATTAAAAAAAATTATGAACTTATTCTATGCGTTGATTTACACATCATGGCATTTTTCTCACTGACTTTTCCAGCTTCATTATGTTTTAGGCCTGTTTTCGATCATAAAGTACATCAAAAAATCGATTCATAAACTCATTGACTACTGAATATAGTCTATTTTTGATAGGTGCAGGCTTTATGGTTACAGTTCGTATAATTGTGGCATCTAATGGTTAGAGATGTTGGACGACGTGATTTAAAATCGATTGTAATAACGTAGTTGATTTCAGTTTTTGTCAACCTATAAACCTTGAGTCTCAAAATTACTTATTCTTCGTTCTCGGATATTCTAGACTTACAAGAGGTTATTTCCAGCTTAGTCATAACGTCTTGTTCGCTAAAACTCGGTAGTGCGAGCTCAAATCATAAGAGCGCATCATTCACCTCATGATTGGAGATTTGTTTTTCTGACGATTCGCAACTACTATTTAACCTAACCTAGGAGTTCCTACATGACTTATTCTAACCACTTAATATCTCAACACAGTACACTCAATGTCGATTCACTTACACTACTGACCACAATGCAGCTTGATCAATAGGATGAAACCAAACCCACAAATTAGACGAACATTGATATTAGTTGCTACTCAATGATCAACTTGAAACTATCTAAAAGTATTATCTTCTATATAAGTGTTTTGTTTAGTGCTACATCATTCGAATACCCTGATTGTTGTAACATTGTAACACCATTTTGCAAGTAGTTAATAAGCTCAACAAGTCTTATAGTACTAGCTGTTTGGCTTGAAATTTCATTTGATTCTTGATTTTGCTTAAATCTTATCACCTAACATTACTAGTTTATACCTATTTAGAACAGAGTATGTTGCAGCGGATAGTTTTTCTGTATCCACACTACACAAGATGATAACACTTATTTTTACGAAATTTAGGTCACATTAAGTTTATCTGCTTGCGAATACTGTGGCGATATGTTTGACTCATCTCACTTTTCATTTAAAAAAAAAATTCATTAGTCACACTGTGCTAAAATCATATGCGCTGACAATTTCCACGAATTCGCCTCGTCAGCAATCAGGAAAGCTAATGAATTAGCAATAAGAACGCACAAATAACCTAACACGACTTTGATCATCTTCGTATTCATCACAGCCTTCACTGAAACGTTTGATTCATGTGAAACGATCTATTTTCTGTAGTGTATTGTTTCCACAAGCACTTCTTAAGATATCATGAATTTCTTGCGATGTTTGTTTGCCAAGTTTCACAGGAAATGTGATTTTCAGTTCTCCATGTACACTGCTTAAACAGACTGTGTTTCATTCGATAATCTGATCAGTATCCAGTAGGGCATGTTTTTTTTTTAAATCAGTACTGATGTTAATGTTGTATGTATGTATGTACATGTATGTATTTTTTGTCATTCACACAGCTCGTGGTCAATTGGCACATTCAATGATGAATCATGATTTATTAAGTCAATCGAATACACCAAATCTAGCTGGTGATGGATTTCTTAGCAATCTAACAGCTGTTTTAGTTCGTTTAAGTGGACCATTAATAACATCACCAGATAAGCCACCGTTGGATAAAATTTGGCCAGAATATGCTCAAGACTCATCTCCAAATCGAACAGCGCTACCAGGTTTGTTGGTTTGTTTGTGTGTTTTTGTTTCTTTACGCTTTGTAAAAAAATAATCTAATCACTTGCATTATGTTGTATGGAACAAATCAAAGAAGTATTAGGTTTAAAGCTTATTTGTATACGATAGCTTAAAGTGAAACATTCATTTTCTTCTTGTTAGCATTTGATCAAGTGCTGATATAATTCTGAGGACGTATGAGAGACAATTTATACCTCAAATTGATAATATTGATCTTATATTCTTCAGTTTAATTACTTAGCGTGACTAATGTTAAGTCAAGTAAGTTACAACGTAGAACTTCGTACGTACGTACGTACATGAGTTCAGGTTACCATATCGCGTTACCACAGAGACGCCACTGTCAGTTCAAATCCCATAGTGGTAAAGATAGTAGAAGAATTACTGGTAATAGAGAATATTAGGGATCGAAGATATTATTCAAGAAGTATAGTTCAGTGAGATAATTTTAGAAAGAGAAAGATAGAGATGATGAGCAATTTTGAAGATTAGAATTTGAGAGAACACAAAGAGTTGATGTATCTACACCATTGCAAACGATTTTGAGCCATGTCGTTCAAGGTCTCTAACCATCGGGGATTTTCATCTCGCGGATTCCAACCGGGTAGCCTACATCTACCAACATGACTCAGTCCACTTGTCGGTAATTTCATGGATTTCGGCATGTGTTTGGTCTGATCGTCCCTAGCTTTCGTCCAACCTATTCCTACAACGCACAACATAGCTCGACGGGGCAGTCGGTGGTTAGGCATTCGTAACACATGTCCCAACCACCTCAACTGATCAAGTTTCACTACTTCGCCTATTGGTCTGCCATCCTTACCTAGTACTCGTTTCCTAACAACAGCATTGCTTACTTGGCTATCCTAGGATATACAAGCAATGCTTCGAAGACACCTATAATCGAATACTAGTAACCTACGAATGTCTCCTACTCTTAACGACCATGTTTCGCAGCCATAAAATAGGACAGAGCGAACTAATTTCCTACTTTATGGACTAATAGATTGTTTGTATATCCCCTTTGCGTTTTAGTCCAAACCACTGCTTCTACATTTTTAAAAGAATTGGTTTAATTGTTTAAAAACCCCGAATTATATGTATACAAAAATCTAAATTCTATACCCAAATTTAGTAATCCGAAATCTGACCAGGTTTAAAGCAAAGTACATCGTTTCGAAATTATAACACATAAATATTTAGGATTGTAAAATCAAATAAATTCCCACAACCTTGTATCGACAATAAAATTGTTCATGTTGAAATGACTAATTGGTAATGTTATTTTCCAGTGAATAATTGTCTCATAGTTGATACGGTTCAACTCCACTGGTCACGACTTCTCACCAGAACTCCGGGAATTCCCTGTCGAAGCTAATCACTAGTGATTACCTGATAATTATCAATGTTTTCAGGTTTTCAGTGGTGGTCTAATGTTGATCAGTTGGTGAATATCAATGAATAATCGTTATAATAGTACAAGGGTATGAGAATCAAGATAACAGAGACAATTACGTTTGACTAGGAAATGTTGTATGTACATCAGTCAAATTGGTTCATTCTATAGTTTAGATTAACGTTGATTTGTTGGTCCTGAGGTTGGCTAAGGTAAGAAGAAAGGATTGAATATATTTCTTTTGCAAACATATCTCGGGTTTCTCTTTAATCTAGATGGCTATTGCTTCTGCCGTTTGAAAGGCTTTGAATAGGACTGGTTTCAGCAAAAAATTATACTGGCACTACATCAGTTTGCACTAAATAGATTAGTATTGAGCTGTCTACTGTCTTTAACTGCACATTTCCTTCATTATAATACCGTTCTGGTTTTCGATTATTGTATTATTATTATTATTATTATTATTACCTTACATCAGAATTACGCAAAGAAACACGTCTTGCACCTGCAACACTGCATCATCTACGTATCAATCGAAATAATAATTCTGAAAAAGCTGGAAATAGTTCATTCACAGTAGTGAACAATGAAGACTATCCTTTATTAACTGAATTATTTTTCCTTGCACATGCGGCTATACGTATTGGATGGACACCGTTAATTGCTAGACATTTTGAAACTGGCCAACAATTGCATCGATTGGAAGATCAATTACAACCTCATGAATCAGACAATGCAAATAGTTCAAATGATTCTCAAGGTAAATAGATATTATTTATTCAACTCATCTACTTGATTTTAAGTCATACTCTAAATGCAAGAACTGGTGATACTAACTAGTTCGTCACATCAAAGTAAGCGGTGAGGAGTTTAAACGTGAAACTTAATGTCTAGAAGTTGAACGCCTTAAGCTCAAGTTAAAAGTTTCGGTTTAGAGATAGGAGAGAAAATTTGTAGCTGAGGTGAATGATTGTGGTGGTGTTTCGTCCTTTAAGCTGGATGTTTTTAGTTATGAAGCTTTCATTGTTCTTCTGAACAACATCATCAGTTCAGATTAAGTAAGGCATTTACATAACAACGAATAGATGAAAGCTAGAGAAAAACTGTCAATCAGTTAGTTACAACGTAGAAGTTCGTACATAGTACATGAGTCCAGGTTGCCATACCGCATCAGCATAAAGACGCCACTCAATTCAAATCCCATAATGGTAGAGATAATAAGAGTATTAGCGGTAATCAAAGAGGTTAGGGTTCGAAGATATGATTCGAGAAGTATAATTCAGTGAGATGACTTTAGAAGGAGAAAGATAGAAATGATGAGGAATTCAGAAGATTAGAATTTGAGAGAACACAATGATGAATACACGTGCGCCATTGCAAACGATTTTGAGCCATGTCATTCAAGGTCTCTAACCACCGGTGACTTTCGTCTCTCGGACCCCAACCAGGTAGCCTACATCTACCAACATGACTCAGTCCACTTGTCAGTGACGTGTCAGCTACGGTTAGGAGAAAAAAGCTGTCCCAATACTAAAATATTGATTTTGATGAAACACAAGTCATTGACTGGTGATACTTTATCATGTATATAGATTTTGGTAAATTCTTTCATTCCACTAATTTACGGTAATGCATTGTAAGCGTTCACAAATATACAGTTGAAATGTTTATCAAGTAATTTCACTCTTTGAATAATCTTTTTTTCTCTCAATAGTTATATTATTCATCATTCTTTTTGTGCGTTAACAAAGTTGAGTTGTCTTATTCAATCAGTAAGACCAGTCAGATGGAATCACGTCCAATTCCGATATTCGAACTAAGATCTATAAGCTCCTGCTGTGTTCTCCCTCGCTTTAACTTACCCATAGCCTCTTCAACCACACTAAGAATTGTAGGACTTACATCAATTAGCGCCATTCACTTCTACTGGAGATTTAAAACTATTTGAATATCTTTAAGCAATATCCAAAAAATAGTTTTTGATAAATCGTCAATTATAGTTGAGTTGTATTTTTCATAAATATCAAACGCTTTCAAGTTATATTCATTGTCACCTGATTATCTGTCGATAATTGTCTTTAAATAGATTGTAGTTTACGCGTTTTTAAATATTTTTTTTCAAAGCGTCGTTTATAGTCTAGCGAGAAATCGATATTAATTTTCAATTTGTACTAATCATTTGTTTTGTAATGATCTGTTGGAAAGTTCAAATGCATATATGTTTAATCAAAAAGTGCATCTCATCCAGAGAGTTAGAGGACTTGTTTATACAGCACAGTATAGTGATCTAAAAGCATTAAACTCAACTGATAAGTTGTTGATGAAATTCACGGTATTAATATTTTACAATTTTTAAGTAAGTTCAAGTTGGCGACGTGAGATCCCCAGAACTCACTTGATAAAGGTCCTAATTTTCGATTTTATGGTTTCACACACGGACTGATCAGTTGACCTTGAGATTACATTTCCCACCAGAAAGGTTCTTGACTGTCATTGGTTGATGTATTATTTTAGTACGCTATTTTTGTGGCTCTCTCAAGGACGTTTCTATCATGTATCTATCGCTTTCGTTACCGACTAAGATGAACTCGTACTAGTTTCAAGCATCGCAATTGACGAGCATAACAGTTTATCATCTATATGTATGGTTTGTTGGTTTTTTGTGTAACTGTGTAACTCTAAAAACAATAATCAATAATTATCAACATTATTATTATTGTTATTATTATTGATTTGTTAAAGCTACTCCTCTCTTGTAATTTCTTCATATTTCTTACAGTATTTTTTTTACGTCGTTTTATGCGTGAACGCACTGCACGGTATCTGGAACAATCTACCAGTTTGTCGTGTATAACTCGATTAAAAGATCAATTGTCATTTGCTGTGACCACTTGCCGATTTCTTGTCAAATTGGCTAAATGTATAGTAAATAATAATGATATTAGTAATAATAATACTACTACTATTACTACCACTGCTACCTCTGAATCACCAACATCATTTTCTCATGGATGTCTTTCTGATTTGCCAGAATATTTAGTTGATAACGTTGTGGAACTTGTTAGTTATTTAAGACGTGGTAAAGACGAATTTCTTGAGGTTAGTATTTATTGTTTTTTGTTGTTGATATCGAAGTATTACTAATCACTTTTATATACTTTGACCAAGTGAATAGTTATCCAGGCTCATTAAACGGGTGGATAAAGCTTTCGCCGTTTAAAGTTGGTCTTGGTGTGAACATGAACACTGAGATGTAAGTGTATTCACTTAACGGGTCTTAAATAGGATGAGAAAACTATCCTGAAATCGATTCCTAGTCACATAACAAGATTGCTGAAATGGCCTTTAGTGCTTACCAGTTCATAGTTTTTGAAGTTGTGATATAATACATAATTTATCACTTATAATCTAAAGCACTTTTGTTCTGAATTCGATCATAATCGAGCTATTCTTTCGATCTCACATGTAATATCTCACTGAATACCACTCCATATAGTTAAAGTTTCATCAATTTTCTTGTTAAGGTTTAAACATGTTGCACTTTATGTGGATATATTACTTACATAGACAGATGATATCTAACAATCAATTGTCATAATCTGTTCTGATTGGTACTTTGGTGCGAGAACGTATTTTTCTCCAGTTTTATGGAATGAAAAAAGACGCATTCAGGCAACCATGTAAGTGATACCCACCCCGAGACATGATATCAAAAGAGTTGTGTGAACATCTTTTGTACCTGCCAGTAAGTTAAACCAAAAGGTTAGGAGAAATCGGTGGGTCTCAGCTGCATCTACTGAACTGATAGATGCTTGGAAACTCATCCCGTCTGGCTCCAAACACAATGAGAAGCGAATATAGCTAAAACACTGGCTGGTGAAAAGCCTTCACAGTGATTGCGAACAGTGGTGGGTAGCGAAAGCATTAGAGACAGAAAAGACAGCGGCAATAGATAACAGTAAACATTTCAGACTATCATGGAAACTGGTATTATGAATCCGACTGTTAACGAGGCTGACTCAGGAAAATTCTGGACTATTATTCACTCTGAATCCGGAAGATTGGATCGATGGGTAGAACACTTCAACTGCCAACCATCTCCAGTAAGCGTGAATGGCGAATTGATGTGCGTCTCCCAACCCTTAGTGTGGTTGAAGAGGTTATAGGTAATTTATAGCGATGGAGAACAGCAGGAACTTACAGCTGGCCCCTATGATTTTTAGAGATGTTTTATAATTCTCTCCCCCTTTGCAACCCAGCTTTTCCTGATGCTTAGTATTCTCGGACACCAATTCACTCGAGACGTTCTCCTAAATCAGAACAGAGTTGAACAGGAAATACAATATATTCCAATAACAGGGTTAAATGGAAGTCAGTAGATCAAAAGGAAAAGACGTTAGTATATTTATAGTGTTCTTATATGAGATTCTAAAATGTTCCCTCAGTATCGGATAGCGCTGATTGGATACGAAAGAGCCAATCAGCGTGCGACAACGCAATCATGCTTTAATCCAATCTGTGTCCCACTAACTGAATGATAGTCCAGTTTGAGCAGTAAGATTAATGGAGATCTTAGCTAGAACCTAGGAACTGGACGTAATCCCATCTGACTGATCTCAATCGTTGATCTTCACAGTCTATAAGAATAGACAAAAGTCCTCTTGTGATAATCACAGATGAATCAGTCTAACTAATCTAGAGTCTAAAATATTATCGTCAATTGCATTATGTTTTTCTAACCGATCGGGTCTCTGTGCTAATGTGGTGTGGCAACCTGAACTGATGTACTTAAGTACGAAGTTCTACGTCGTAACTGACTGACTGACTGAACCAGACTGTGTTGATCAAGTTCATTGACTGAAGTTGTGCTGTAATAAACTAAGTTAATGTACTCTACAATAATTTAATTGTGCTTTCGTTGTTCGCTAGTTTACCCGCCTGTTCATTCTTATGTTACACTTGTAGTGTTAAGTTTCCTTTTTAACTTTTTGAAATATTATTTGATATTCGAATGACTCTATCATTAAGTGTCCCTTAATCCAATAGTTATTGCTTAACGTTGTCGATTTCAATATGTGTAGAAAAATCTTCAAGATTTCAAGCGTATCACTGTAATAACTTAGTAATTAGAAATTAATATTATAATCTTTATATTGCTTACTTGACAGTGGTGTAAATATATATTAAATTCATTAAATTCATATTGCATAGCTATTTTATTGATCAAATATTTTAAAATTTTGATTTCTACAGTAGCTGCCACTTTGACGAAACAGTCAAGCTTTCCTCTCATGTTGACCCAACAGAGCCTTATTGACTGTAGCCTTTGTTTCTCTATATCCTTCTACACTAGAATAGTTGGTTGAAGAACTAAACTAAAATCAGCTACAGTTTGAGGACGATATCGTATTATTGACTGTATAGATGCGTGACGACAGTCAAGTGTTTCCCTTGAATAAACAGCATATGCAGCGATGCTGTCTTTTCACAATGATTGAAAAAATGGAAATGTCGACCGTAAAAACTGTCACATCTCATCTTCCTATGATAGAAGTGCTCCAAATTGCTTCTATTCTTTGTAATCGATGCTGTTCACAAAAATCGCAGTTTGAAATAGTGAATAAACAGCTGTATCCTCTAAAGTTCTTTTTTACTTAAACTGGTTCGGATACATTTTCTGCTGAAAATCAGTCACTTGATAAAATCACCGGATTATGTGTATACTGTTCCACACTACACATTCACTTACTTAGTGTAAAAAGGCAATCGAAATGGATTCATCTCCATGTGTCTGTTTACATTACACTCTAAGCGTTAGATAAGAATACACGAATACATGCTTACACTTCCATGAATTAGCTTATAACCATACATTACATACTGAGAGATATTTAGTTTGTATTGAATATATATATATATATATATATATATATATATATATATATATATATATATCGGAAATTCATAGTGTACTATATATACATTTATATTTTTATTTCACTTACTGTAAATATGGACAAGCGTAACAGATAGAAAAAATAATTCATTTTATTTTGTTGTCATTTTTCACTAACTAAACTAAACTAACCCTAACCAGTATGTATGCATACACAATTCAATAAGAATTATACACTGTTCATTAACAATATAGTCGGTGTGTGCTTATTTCTCTCTGTGTATTTTATTGACTTAAAGAATAAATATTCAATACTAAATAATATTATTGGAAATATTCTTTTAACCACGAATAACACGCACTCATTTATTCTTTCTTAATTGTCATTTTCACTGTAAAGTGCTTACACGACTGTACATAGATAGATTACGTCATGAACAATTGGATAGTTAGAATTTTTGCAATCGAATTTGTTTATGATGGATAAATTTGGTCTTAAACCAACTGTAAGCGAAATAGGATTATCTGTGATAGAGATTTCGTTTCGTTTGCTATTCGTTAGCTGAATGTCCTTGGATCTGAAAGTGAATGTTCACATTGAGACTTGAATTTTTCATTATGCCAACTTGCGTCACTTATGGCGTAGGAGAGATATCCGTTTGCTGACTAAAGGACGAGTAAACTGCGCAGCAATTCAGTATGTCCTGCTATATGGCTGCGAAACATGGCCCGTCAGAGTAGAAGATATTCGTAGAATGCTTGTTTTTGTTCATAGGTGTCTCCGAAGTACTTCCCGAGTATCCTGGAACAACCGAGTAAGCAATGCTGTTGTTAGGAAACAGGTACTAGGTAAGCATGGCTGAATAATAGATGAAGCACTGCAACTTCATCAGTTGAGGTGGTTGGGACATGTGTTACGAAAACCTACCACCGACAGCCTCGTCGATCTATGTTTTGTGATGTGGTAGTAGGTTGGAAGAAAGCTAGGGGTGGCCAAACCGAAACATGGCAAAAATCCATGAAGTCACTGACAAGTGGACTGAGTTATGTTGGTAGGTGTTGACTACCTGGTTGGTTCGCGCGAGATGATAGTAATCGATGTTTAGAGACCCTGAATGACATGCCTCAAAACCATTTACAATGACGCAGGTGCCTTCATTCTTTGTATTCTCTGAAATCCTAACCTTCGGAGTTCCTCATCATCCTTATCTTTTTATTTTTAAGTTTATTTCACTAGATTCCACTTCTTGAATAATATCTTTAAACCCTAATCTCTCCGATTACTACTTATACTTCTACTACCTCCACCACAATGGGATTCGAAGTGACAATTGCATCTGTGTGCTAATGTGGTATGGCAACGTGAACTGATGTACGTACTTACGAAGTTCTATGTTGTTGTTGACTGACTGACTTTCGATACAAAATATTTCCCCTGAGTACACATAACTACTAACGTGTACCATTACATTCAGCTGATGAGTTCTCTAAATATGATAAAACGCATGTTTCCAACTCCATTATTAGTTACTGTTTAACTGAAGTAAAGCCTTGTTACAAATGCCTATATTAATGCAATCCACTCAGAAATTATCTATCCCAATAGAGACTGTTCAATAGCAGTAATTAACATCAACAACGATAAAATACAATCTGTTACAAACAGAAATCACTTTATTCCTTAGAGTAGATTGAAATTCAGAATTCTGTCAATAATATACAAAATATTACTAAATACACTGTTTTAAATAAATGATTCCCAAGTTCATTTGTACTCCATCTTTGCAAATGATAAAGTTCCTAATTTTGGATTTTATATTTTCGAGTATGGACTGATCAGTTGACCTTGAGATCACATTTCCCACATGGAGAATCCTTGACTGTCATTGGTCAATGTATCATTTTAGTACGCTATTTTTATGGGCTCTCCCATGGACCTTTCTATCATGTATAAATAAACTCGATTTGTGTGCTTGAGATGATTATATATTTTCTGGGTGTTTGTAGAATACACTTACTACGTCTTTTTAATACTTCTTCTTCCACTTAGTGGGGCCTTGAGGCGCTCGGATTAGAGTAGCCTATCGTGTCTCACTGCATCATTTGTCTTCACTCTCATTTACCAACGTAAGTGAACTCGTAATAGTTTCAAGCATATCAATTGACAAGCATAACACAGCGAATATATTGAATTATACTAATCATTGTGATAAATCCATTCAAGTTTTTTTAATAGAAGCTTATAGTTACTTGATATAGTCTCCAAAATAGATTGAAAATTAGGAGTACTTCATTTTGTTTTTAGTTTGTACATTTAATTTTTAAAATAATAATCACTCTGGATAAATAGTAAAAGCACAATAATCATTCTTAATTAATGATTGTACGTATTTATAAATCTTTGTTTATGTATGTGTTCCTCTTTTTTTTTTTTCTCTCTCTCTCTCTCTCTTTCTTAATTAGTCCGTTGAAGTGTCATCCATTCCATTGGAACCATTATTAGAATTCAGTATATTATTTATGAATCATACAGGTTTATTAACTAATCCACATTTAAGAGCTCGTCTTGCTGAAGTACTTGAATCATTAGTACCACAACGTGATGATGAAGCATGGAATACCAATAGTAATGGTTCTGGTTTATTGAATTCATTGAATTTATCTTTGTAAGTTTTATTTTTGTTTTGTTTTAAAAGAGATGGGTTTTATGTTTTGTATTATCTGACTCTTTTCTTGCCTTTCTCGGTTTTCATTATTATTTTTTCCAGTAATTGACACAATTAGTTAATTTGTTATTAATAAAGGTACGAAAATATTGGTAAGTTCAATATATTAGTAGTATACTATTGTGGTGACCGATATCAGCGTGTTCCTAAGCTTCGTAATTAGCTCGTCTAGACAATCGTTACTAAATAGCGTCTGATGGTTTATAAATCAGAAGGTGAGCTCGAAGTGTTGAATACGTTTTATTTTGGCACACCACAAAAATGGGATAGCAGATCAGGCAGGCACACTAGCGAGTGAATGGGCGGATGTGCGAACGAATCAGTAAGATTAAAATGTTCGTATATATACATAGGAAGATATTTGAGTCATTGTGATATTTAAGAGATTAATATTAAAGCGAATCGGATGAATAAGCGCGTAGGCGGTAAGCAATGTTCAGTCATACCAGCTCATACAAACCACACAATAAAAAATACCAATGGTACATATGGCTTGTTGCTATACAAATAGCTTGGTTACAATAAGTTAATCAAAAGGCTTAATCAAATTAAATATGAGCGAACTCAAATTTACGTGGAGGCACTACACTATGAGCAGCTAGACTCCATTCTTGACATGCTCCCGAGGAAGAGGAAGATCATAATTATTTTTTAGCTAAAACTGTTTTTGTATTTTCGAAAGGTTGTATTACTGGAGGATTCGGCTGTATCCATAGTGTATAAGTGATCCTTAAACAACAAAGACAAGAGGGGTGTATATCTCAGGTTCATGGTGGAATTTCTGAGAACGAGAATAGAAATCTCTGTGTCCCCCTATACGAATTTGAATAAATGTGAAATGATGTGAATACAATACATTTCATAATTTTTTATTAGCTGCTTAAAACCATGTACGTATTAAATCGAAACATTGAAATATGAAACGAGATATCGTTTGCTAACCAAAGGACGAGTGTACTGTGCAGCAGTTCGCTGCGTCCTACTTTATGGCTGCGAAACATGGCCAGTGAGAGTAGAAGATATTCGTAGGTTATTAGTATTCGATTATAGATGTCTTCGAAGCATTGCTCGTATATCCTGGGACAACCGAGTAAACAATGCTGTCGTTAGGAAACGAGTACTAGGTAAGGATGGTAGATCAATAGATGAAGTAGTGAAACTTCATCAGTTGAGGTGGTTGGAAGATGTGTTACGTTTCTAATCAGCTGCTTACAACCATGTATATATTAAAGCGAAACATTTAAATATACTATTGTATGAAGCCGTCGACAGTGATGATGGAAGGAATTATTGTAACAAAAGTTATCAATAATAACGCTGTCTTACACCATCCCTCCCGACCGTAGCCGCTACCTATACGTGGTAGTCGAGCTCGCCTATCATGATGACCCAGTAGAGCTATATTGTCTGGAACATATGTTTCTGTAGGTTCTACTATATCAGGCATGTCGATTGGAGAACCGTGGGACTAAAAGCAGCAACTCAAGGTTTGAAGTAGAAGTCATACTGCTGACTGTAGCGGGGTGTGACAGCTGTTCGGTTTTCCTCGGACGATCATCTGCGACGACGCTGCTCTCTCGGAAGCAAGGGGTTGGAAAAGGTCGACCCTAAGAATGCCACGCCTCACCTTACCTCACGGATTTCTGTCTTCGGTGGCAAGGCTACTTGAAGAGAGGAGCTTACAATTTATGAACTTCCTGTAAAAAGGCAGTGCGTGACCGGCCTCAAGCATTTGTCCCTTGGGCCCTGCGATCACGCTCCCAGGTCACTAGGAGCAACACTAGTCTAACTTCCTTTTCAGGTTCTTCAAGAAACACCCTTCCTCGTTCTGGGCAGCCGGAAAGTGTCCGCCCTCATACATGTAACAGTAAGCGAGACCGATTTTTTTGGATGTATTATTGTGTATTATTAGTTCCATATATTTTGGTTGTCTCTTCAAAATGTTCCCTATCCTACTGCATTCTGTGTGGCTCATTATAGATCAACTCTTCTAAGCAAAGTAGTTTCTGAATCATGAAACCAAAACTTGAGACTAAGGGATAAAATGTCAAAAATTTGGTCTCTGTTTAACAGATCTATGACAGAGACAGACAGATACAACGCAGAACTTCGTACGTAAGTACATCATTTCAGGTTGCCATGCCCCATCAACACACAGACGCAACTGTCAGTTCAAATCCAAGAGTGATAGCAATAATAGAAGTATTATCAGTAATGGAGAAGATTAAGGAGTGAAGTTATCATTCGAGAAGTTTAATTCAGTGAGATAAATTTAGAAGGAGAAAGGTAGTGATTATGAGAAATGCAGAAGCTTAGAATTTCATAAAACACAAAGAGTAGATGCACCTGCGCTATCGCAAACGATTCTGAGCCATGTCGTTAAAGGTCTCTAACTATCGGTGACTATCGTCTCGCGGACCTCAACCAGGTAGCCTACATCTACCAGCATGAATCAGTCCACTTGTCAATGACTTCATGGATTTGTGCCATGTTTTGGTTTGGCCGCCCCTAGATTTCTTTCAACCTACTCCTACACCGCAAAACATAGCTCGTCGAGGCAGTCGGTGGTTAGACATACGTAACACATGTCCCAACCATCTCAACTGATGAAGTTTCATCACTTCATCTATTGATTTGCCAACACAGATTTAAGATGATTCTTCTTTAATTGTATATTATGTATTCACTAATTGAACTAATTATTTCCATTCTTGTTCTGTTGGTTTTTGGCTTTTGTTTTTGTCTTAGCCATCGACGTGAACAATTGATGAATCGAGATCCAGAAATCACAGATGATCCTGTATTGAGTAATGCTGTGCGAGCATTGCTTACAGCATTTGTCTCTATAGAATTATCTCCTGGTACCGGTGCTGTTGGCAGTGCCGGTAGTGCAGCGGATACAGCTATAGCTGCTTCCTCCTCCACCTCCACCTCCTCCTCCTCATCATCAGCAACTACATTACAAAATGATAGGAATAGTCAAACAGATGCTGGTACTAGTAGTAGTAGTAGTAGTGGTGGTGCTGCTACCAGCAGCTCTGCAACAGACACTCAAACTGCTTCTGTTGGCTTTGAAGAGAAATTTCATTATCGACGTCCAATGTATGCTTGTTTAAGATATTGGTATGGTAAACCATTATACAATGTACAGTTTCAGGTAAGAAAGAAAAAACAAAAAGTGTACACAGATAATTTGGTTGTGGCTTTCAATGTCCAGCAGATTTATTATATGTAGCATTTTTGGTAAATAACCGATCAAATTTGACAAATGAATACCACATATCAAAGTTATCCACGAAAGCTTGCTATCGACATGTCAACAAGTCAGCTGAAAACAAACAGCCATAGTTGAGTTGAAATGTCTGATGAAAATTACACCCTCATATGTAGCACTCATTCGCTAAGTTACCTGAAAAGTTACTGAAGTGTTTCTGAATATGGCATACTTACGTTTGTCACCCTTAATAGAGTTTAAGGTCGCCGACCGAAAATCTTGACCCAACTCTGTCCCGGCTCTTATTTCTGTTTGTTCCTATTCGTTCATATGATGTCTTCCGCCAATTCTCGACGCAGTGTTCTTTGGCCTTGATGGTACGAAGTTATGGTTTGCCTCGTGATGCATTTGGCTGGTTTCCTCAATATGTGTCCTATCTGCCTCCAGTGCTTTTCCCTAATTTCCCCCTCAACTGCAATCTGGTTTTTTCTCTTCCAGAGTAGGTTGTTGTTGATGGTGTTCTGCAGTTTCTTGTGTAGACAACTGTTAATGAACACCTTGAATATAGCATACTTATTGAATACCCAGAATGTGGTGGACAACTTCAAGTGGTTATTTTAAGCTTCACTTGACAAAATAATCAGTTTTACCCAACCAAATTTACTTTTTTCCGGTCAATAGATTTTAATTGGTCCTGCAATAAGTTAGTTGATGTGTTACATTGAGGAACTTTATTAGATTACAAGAATCAAACATTACATTGTTTATTTTTCAAAGATAAAGTCAACAGAAGTACTCATTTGATAACATTTTTGATCATTTAGTTTGACTAATGTATTTTCTGGCTCTTTACTTTTCTGATGGCCTGTACTGTGTAAATCTTAGGCAACTTGATGGTGTAGAGTAGTGTTTCTTCACTTCTTGTAAAAGTATATTTATATTCTTGGATGAATAATTCATCTAGACCATGTCATGAATGTATCTTTGATTTCGTAATCATTTTTCTATATCAAGTATCTACATTGAGTCAGTCAATTACAACGTAGAACTTCGTACATCAGTACATAAGTTCAGGTTGCCATACCGCATCAGCACAGAGACACAACTGTCAGTTCAAATCCCATGGTGGTAGAGATAGTAGAAGTATTAGCAGTAATAAAGAAGATTAGGGTTCGGAGATATTATTCAAGAAGTATAGTTCAGTGAGATAAATTTAGAAAGAGAAAGATACAAGTGATGAGGAATTCAGAAGGTTAGAATTTGAGAGAACACAAAGAGTGGATGCACCTGCGCCATTGCAAACGATTCTGAGCCATGTCGTTCAAGGTGACTTTCGTCTGGTGTACCTCAATCAGGTAGCCTACATCTACCAACATAACTCAGTCCACTTGTCAGTGGCTTCATGGATTTCTGCCATGTTTTAGTTTGGCCACCCCTATCTTTCATCCAACCTACATTTCTCAACTGAGATAGTGTAAATGTTTTAAACCCAACTATGTGTTATAATATTGCATTTGTTTTTCATTGTACCGTAACTGCAAAAAACTAGTATTTGCCAGAAGGAATTGTAATTTACACTGCAAAACTAAAAGACAAAAGAGATATTAAATAATGATTGATTCTAGTTTGGAAATAAATCAACATTATAATTAAAATACGCTAATAATTATGTTCTCTTTACTTTAAGCTAGTAATTATAAAGTCAAATTTTGTGTAAATTAATCCAATTATACTTACTCTTTTCAAACACAAATTTACAATTGAACATATTATACTTATACTGTAGTGAATGAGAACACAGGTGGGGCAACCGAATTGTATTTAACGAAAATTACCGAGTTATTCAGTAAAGTCGGAAAACCATATCGTAAATCGTTAATTTGCAAAATATCAGTTCATCATATCGAACTGGACTGTTCCTGTTGCAAAATATCAATCGATTGTCACTATTCATGCGTTTCATACAAATTCCACTGTTTTCCCGCTGTTCCTTTCTTGATCTTCCCCCATGTTCTGCTACCAGACATTACGTTTTTACTCACGTCATATACTACTTATAAGTATCTCGCGCCACAATACTACATACGTCATAGGCATTCGGAGAAAATCAATTTTTCATTGGTCACTCACATACTTGAATCAATAATTTAAAACATTGTTCATCACATCATCATCATCATATCATGTTGTATATTTTTGAATTGAACATGTTTTAACTCATTTAAGCCATTCTATGGTTGTCTATTTAAAAGTAGATTATTTTGTAACGATCTTGAAATAAGATTTTTAAACTCACGAAACGATATGATATTGGCAGTGTTGTTGAAGAATTTCAATGTCTCTAGGCGTTGTCTTATAAAATTATAATTGTAAAGGTTACATTACATCACTGGCACTATGACATCCACAAAATAAATTCTGAAAACTGTTGTCGTTAAATTTAATTAAAGACTTCGTTTACAATAGCCCTTCTGACATACTAACATAGCATCATACTATATGTGGAAAGATTGAGCATTTTACATATATCTTCTCATTCTATTGATTGGTATGAGAGTGTGATATAACAATGACATTAATTGTACTTCAATTCATTCTGTTGTTTACATTTTTAACATGACCCTGTCAGGTTATGCAATATACCGATTGTTTGTCTACTGATGATAGGACTTTCTTTTTCTTCACTGATTAAAGTTGCTAACTCTTTTTTTTATAACTCACCTTGAATTAGTTTTGATCTTTTTTTTAAAGATAGGGATCTTTGTGAGGCTAATTTTTAGTACATACTTTGATAATCTTGAAAAGTAATTAGAAAAAAACATTGATTAATTGTTTAGCTTTAGTTTGAGAATCCTTGGTAATGCACATTCATGAATCCACACACAGAATCACATTCGAGGTCTGAAAGTGAACAAAGTTTAATTTAATCATTAAGCCGGACTCATATGTAACACTTTAGTGACTTAATCGCTGTTGAACAACGATTATTCAATGCGAACCTTATTCTTGATAGAGTTGAACTCTATTAATCTACTTGAACATTGGAATTCCTTGTGAGGGAATTATCCATGAGCTTCTAGATTTAAATATCCTGGGCTCATACTGCTTAGTAATTACAAACAATGGTAAGAACAGTTGTTTAGTGCTTTCTGAGTCTTTTTAATGGCTCATTGAAAGGCATGTTGAAAATGAACTTTAAATGAGTTCTTCAGGTGTTAAACAATTTGACTCATTAGTTTATATATATATATATATATATATATATATATATATATATATATATATATATATATATATATATATATATATATAATGAATCATGTACTTTTTAAACCTTTAACATTGAGAAAATTAGATATATATTAAGGAATTTAGTCTATGTAAAGTTAGGGCAATAGTTGTAGCTCAAAGGGGGAGATATGAGTTCACTTATTCTATGGACTCTTATCAGCTTTTACAACTTAGAAATGATAGTGTTAATTGTTTTCAGAACAGCATACATACATTTTATAAAACAGTATCATAAATAGTTTTATTTAATCTTAAAAGATACTGAACGTTTGCAGCCCCTAAACGTCAACAAGAAAATTCAAGCAACTAATCTAAGTAAATTAATCTTATATAGCTGAGATTTCAAAATTATGCCACTAATATATGTACTCTTGTGGTGCACGCTACTTATAAGTAGTATATGACGCGAGTAAAAACGTAATGTCTGGCAGCAGAAGATGGGGGAAGATCAAGAAAGGAAGAGCGGGAAAACAATGGGATTTGTATGAAACGCATGAACAGTGAAATGTCACACAATGGATTGATGTTTTGCAACAGGAACAGTCCAGTTCGATATGATGGATTGATATTTTGCAAATTAACGATTTACGATATGGTTTTTCTATTTTACCAATTAACTCTGTAATTTGAGATAAATGCAATTCGGTTGCCCTCACCTGTGTTCTACTTCACTACAAATACCCAAATGAATGATTACTTAATCATCGATAACCTCTATGTTGCATTCGAATGAGTAAATACAAATTAATGTCGTTGGCTCTGAACTTCACTATATATACTATATAAGCTATTTAAATTGTATGAACTAATTCATTTTTTTTGCTTACATAAAACTTTACATAAAAACCATGTGTGCTTTTCCGATTTAAATTAGGTTATTTTTAGTACACTCACATGATTGATTGTCTTATTGTTGTCGTTTTTAAAGTGAAATTTTTTGGTCATCTTGTGCGTGTTTTAGTGTTTTACACTTACTCTATTATCCATTAATGACAACTTCTAGTTCTTTTTCCGCGTATGTCACTTATGGTTTTTGATAAGTCATCTTATGCTTCGATGTTTAGATGCAGTGATCTTTATCGCTTCTCAGTCCTCAAAACTTTTCTATTGATTTTTGAAAGAAAACTAAAGGCGTTAAATCCCGAGAGAAGCTTTACTTTAAAGCGGTTTTCCTTCTCTGGGTGCCCATTATCGTGGCAGGGTATTGAGTTGCTTGAAATGAAATGCCTCGTTGAGATATGTTTTGCGATGTAGGTATAGGTTTGAAGAAAGCTAGGGGTGGCCAAGCCAAAACACGGCAAAAATACATGAAGTCACTGACAAGTGGACTGAGTCATGCTAGTTGGTGTCGACTACGGGGTTGGTGCGCGTGAAATGATAATAATCAATAATTAGAGACCCTGAGTGACATGGCTAAAAACCGTTTGCAATGGCGCGGGGGCGTTCATTCTTTGTGTTCTCTCAAGTCCTAACCCAGTGAATATCTTCATCACCTTTGTCTTTTGATGTTTAGGTTTTTTTCACTGAATTATACTTCTTGAATAATATCTTCGAACCCTCATCTCTCCGATTACAGCTAATACTTCTACTACCTCTACTACTATGGGATTTGAACTGACAATTGCGTTTATTTGCTAATGTGGTATGGCAACCTGAACTGATGTTCTACGTTGTGACTGACTGACTAAGGGTTCGAGAGTGTGGCTTCAGAATTCAAGGGAAAACTGCTTGTGGACAGTAACGCATATATCCACATTTCAAAAGGCTTCATTATCGGGGATGAAAATTCGTGGGTTAAGGAGAGGTGACATTTTTAGGGTTGAGAAGGCAGCTTCACTGTATATGCTGGTTGTTACTGCTACTACAGTAAACAGTACGATTTTACCATCAAACCTTAATTTGATGCTGCTAGTCTTACCATTGTCCAATCGACCTGCCCGTCATGGCTCTAAAGGGCCTAAAGAGACGTATACTTCAACCAGTATGCTCGATTGAGTCATCACGGGTAGCGAGCCAGACCACCATGTCAAGGTAGCTGCTATGTTTGTGTCTCTGCAGGCTTATGGGAAACTTGCCAAAATTTGGCGCGAATTCGCTGAATGTCCAATCAGTACATTTAATCTATAACCAGTCGGTTTTTGAAATGTCCTTCAAAGTTTCTAGGAGATTCAGATGGATTGATGTATTTTCGTCATTTGCCTGACGGATGAAGACTTTTATGGAATTAACGAAGCCCCTTAACAGTTTTTTACAGGAAATTATTGAGTTATTCTTTTACTTACTATACCGGTAATATCTACCTTAATTTTCTATTCTCTACTAAAATCACTATTTTAAACTAGACAGATTTATTATTGTTCAACACATGAAGAATAAAAAGTTTTTGTTTTTCATTTTATTTTAATCTCATAGATATTGATTTTTTGATTTTTAGGCTTCAGTCAATATAATTGAAATAAATTCTGTTAATTGTTTATTTCTCTATTATTGTTGCATTAGTTTAATTAAACCTGACTATGTTGTCTATTGTTGTATTAAGCGTTTAGAAAATGAAGCCTTAGCGCATATCGATGATGCAAATCCTCCATTATTTCTACAATTTTTATCACTTTTGGTAAATGATGCAATCTTTCTATTAGATGAAGCGCTTAGTTTATTGGCTCAACTTAAACAAACTGAACGTGAAAGAGAAAAATGTGGTGGAAGGTAAGCTTTTCTTCTTTTTATAGCATGTATGCATGAAATTACATTATCTCATCATAATAAGCTCCATATTAAATGTTTTCATTGTCAGGTTCTAAATATCATAACATTTATATGATGTGATTCTTTTGATAAGTTGTCAGTGGTAGAGTTCAGTTAAAAGGTTAAGTCAAGAGTGATGATGGCGTTTTTCAGCGATTGCTCTGGATGATCGTCTTGTTTTTCCAAAAGTTGAAACATGGCCAGTCAGAGTAGAAGGTATGCATAGGTTGCTGGTTTTCGATCATAGGTATCTCCGACGCATTGCTCGTATATCTTGGGAAAACCGAGTAAGCAATGCTATTGTTAGGAAACGAGTCCTAGGTAAGGATGACAGATCAATAGATGACGTATTGAAACTTCATCAGTCCAGGTGGTTGGTACATGTGTTACGAAAGCTTAACCACCGACTGCTTCGTCGAGCTATGCTTTGCGATGTAGGAATAGGTTGGAAGAAAGCTAGGGATGGTCAAACCTAAATATTACAGAAATCCATGTGAGACGAGTCACCGATATTTCGAGACCTTGAACGACATGGCTCAGAATCGTTTGCAATGGCGCAGATGCATTCATTCTTTGAGTTCTCTCGAATCCTAACCTTCTGAATTCCTCATCACCTTTATCTATTTCTTTTTAAGTTTATTTCACTAGATTCTACTTTTCAAATCTTATATTCGAACCCTAATCTTTTCGACCACTGCTAATACTTCTACGACCGCACTACTATGGGATTTGAACAGACAATTACATCTGTGTGCTAATATGGTATGGCAACTTGAACTGATGTACGTACATACGAAGTTCTATGTTGCTGTTGACTGCCTGACTGACTGACAAGTGAATTCGGAATTTTACCTTTGAACCCCTACTCAGTGGTCCCAATGGTTAAGCGTTCACTTTGAGACTCGGTAGTCCTGGGTTCAATCCTCGCCGATTTCTTGGGTGTACACTTTTAACCTATGCCTTACTAGGATAAAACAGATGTCCCATGCCTCATGATTTTCACTTTTACATTGATTTAAATCAGTCTATGTCAAACACAACCTATATATATATATATATATATATATATATATATATATATATATATACTTTATCATCAATTTTTTCTCTTGGCATATTAGATTATCCTCTTCTTCCGATGAAGCATTATTTGCACATACAGGTCGTTTAGCACGACATCATATTATTCTTGGCTTAGATACCATTGCTGCACTACGTCGTGTAATCACTTTATGTCCAAAATTAATTACTCATCCAATATTAGTTGATCGTGTTGCTTGTATGCTAAATTATTTCTTGACAAGACTTGTAAGTTAAACTCATAATGTGATATTATTGATTATTTGTTTACTACTTATCTATTGATTTCTTGTTTACTCATCATATTATTTATTGTTTTGTTTTCCATGATTCATGTTCATTAGATAAATTGATAAACAAAATTACTTTTATGTTGTTTATTCACTAACGAAGTAAAGTTATTCATAGAATCTTACCTACTTACTTACGCCTGTTACCCCCAATGGAGCATAGGCCGCCCACCAGTTTCCTCCAACCAACTCTGTCCTGGGCTTCCATTTCCAGTTCTGTCCAATCACCGGTCATTCTTCTCATATCTTTCTCTATTTCTCGGCGTAATGTGTTCTTTGGCCTTCCTCTTTTCCTTTTGCCTTGAGGGTTCCATGTGAGGGCTTGTCTCGTGACGCAGTTAGGTGCGTTTCGTAGTGTGTGTCCTATCACCCACTTCCACCGCTTCTTCCTGATTTCCAACTCCGCTGGAATCTGGTTTGTTCTCTCCCACAGTTCGTTGTTGCTGATGGTGTCTGGCCAACGAATACGAAGTATTTTGCGTAGACGACTGTTAATAAATACTTGTATCTTCTGGATGATGGCTTTGGTAGTTCTCCAAGTTTCCGCTCCATACAGTAGAACTGTCTTGACATTTGTATTGAAAATTCTGATTTTGGTTTTGGTTGAAAGTTGTTTGGAGTTGCAGATATTTTTCAACTGTAGAAATGCAGCCCTTGGTTTGCCAATCCATGCCCTCACATCTGCATCGGATCCACCTTGATTGTCGATGATGCTGCCAAGATATGTAAAGGTTTTTAAATCCTTCAAGGCGTGTCCATTAAGAGTGATTTGGTTGGTGCATGTTGTGTTGCGTCGGAGAATTTCGCTTTTTCCTTTATGTATGTTGAGACCTACTGCTGCAGAGGCTGCTGCTACACTGGTCATCTTCTCTTGCATTTGTTGTTGCGTGTGCGATAGAAGAGCCAGATCATCTGAGAAGTCCAGATCGTCCGGTTGCATCCTAGCTGTCCATTGGACGTCTTCATAATCCAGTCGATCACCATAGAATCTATGGGATGTTTTTTTTCGTAGTAAGGCAGCTATTCCTAATGTTTGGTATTCTCGGACATCAATTCACTTGAGACGTTCTCCCAAATCAGAACACGATTGAACAGGGAATAGAGATTATATTCCAATAACAAGGTTATAAGGAAAACAGAAGTTCCAAAGGAAATGACGTTAGTACATTTATAGTTTTTTTACATGAGAGGATTCTAGAATGTTCCGCCAGTATCGACTAGTGCTGATTGGATACGAAAGAGCCAATCAGCGTGCAGCGACGTATTGATGCTTTAATCCAAATGTATGTCCCGCTAACAGTAGCCCTGAGTGCACACTGGTGATTCACTTGCTATGAAGAAGGAATCACTATTCAAACTTTTACTGGTGTCTGACAGTTCTTTAACTGAGTTCAATCTGTGACATGACCTAGCATGGTTGATTTAAATTGTAGAAATATTGACTATTGAATTCTTATAGTACGTAGTTCAATCTCTGCCAGAATTATAAGTCTTCTTTTTACTAAAACTAAATGATTATTTAGTGATCTCTAGTTTTTTTAAACAGCTATCCAGTTATTATTCACTGACAGGATCATATGAGAACAGGGCTTTAGCTTATATAATATAATCAAGTATCATGTATGCATATATTCATGCTTTGACAGAATAATAATAATAATAATAGAGATTTTCCAGGTTACTACCTCATATTGCATAAAGCTTGAATTATTCATCTGTCCTACTTTATGATTTTACAATTTAGTGAATTGTATTTATTCATTGTTGAATTATTTTCGATAAAATCTTACAGTACACTATTTATTTTGTTCTCCAATACAAATTACCGATATAAAAACAAACTATTCCAATTCAAATAAAGTTATGCAATACCAGTTGAGGAGTTATGATAAGAATTTGTGTAGATAGGACTGCACAAAAATGAAAGAAGAATAGAAGCTGAACAGATTCATTGTCAGATGATAAATAGGAAAGTAGATGTTGAACTATAGGAAGGTATACTTTCATTTAGTGAAAATGCACGATACATAATAGGTTAGAGTATTTGATTTCAAGTTGCTTGGATACGCGCTCGAACGCCCATCGTATCTAATTCATTTTGAGCAACTGGGTGACTTTCACATACTAAAAGTGGTATGGTTCAATGCTGCTTCTTAGTATATAGACCTGTTTTTTGATCGGTCGATTACATAGATAGGGTTGTGGAGGTTTTTTAGTTCCTTTGGAACCGTGAATCGATAAATATTTGATTGCCATTAGAAACCTGGATACACTGGACGAACTTCTCGTTCTAGTATGCGACTCAATAGCAGTGCACATCCACAACCTCCCACTCTAGAATCTAACTCAGTACCTTCGATCTCGTGCAGGAACACTTGGTCTCTATTTTACAGAGTTGACATCTCGCGGTGTTTATGTCTAACTTGAATCAATCCACGATATTGCATGGTATCATCCATTGTCTCCAGTAGGTAACTGCCTCCCATCCGATATGGTTGAACTGCGAGAATTCCTTCACGAAGCTAGTCACTTGCCAGCAAATGATAATTGTCATTGTAGGATTAGGGAGAAAATTGTGGAATATTTAAAAACAAATGAAGTCATTAATACTAAGTGATAAGTGTATTTTTATGCGGTTTGTTTTTTTCTCCTAATTTGCTATCTTGACATGTCACACTTTGTCCTATCGTGTGAAACTTGATATTGATCATTGATGTCGCTGATTGATATTAACTTAAATTTAAATCTAGAGAATTCAATTGAGTTCAAAGTTAACATCATTAATTACTTACTCTAAATGGTGGCAATAACATAAATCTAGTTTATTAGTGTTTTGTAGGTTGCTAAACATAGTTAATAACATAAACAAGCATATCTTCTGTGTCTACAATTCTTACATTGGCGTTTTAGTATATACGCTTATTTGCTGGATTTAATCAAAATCTCTTTTTATAAATCAGTAATACAATTTTATTCCAGTCTTATTCTAATATTTATAACTAAATATATGAATTTATTGACAAAAAAATAAATGAGTCGGTTGTTGTAGTTTTAAATTATTATTATTATTATACACTTTGATCAACATCATGCTTAGTTGTTAGGTCGGAACAATTTAATTCTCACCTTGCATTTCGATTGATAGGTAGGACCTAAACAACGTGATTTAACTGTACGTGATAAAGCTGCTTATGGTTTTAAACCAGATTTAATGGTGCTAGAAATCTCTGCTATATATCAAATATTGGCTCGTGGATCTGATTCTGAAGTTGTGACAGATGTAGAGACAACTGGTAAATTATGTGTTTTTTTGCATTTGTTTAAAGGAGGCGTAAATGTTTGAATAGTTATGTACGTATATGTATGTATGATTTGGAGGCCGTTTTGGAGTCAATTTTTTTAGATATGCCCTGGTACGGTTGAGAGTAGGGAGAATCTGCTCTCTCTCTCTCTTTCTCGAAGTGTTCTCACATGGACACGCGTTTATAGCCATTACTAGAGAAGTCCTAGTCAGTGCCTCCTCGTGGCACAGGTGTTGTTTATGTAATTGAGAGGACAAAAAGCTGGTATCCGGCACTTTAACTGGACGTAGAAAACCCTAGTTTTAAATCAGTGGTGTACATCAGCTCCAAGATCTTGACAGAACGAATAGCGTTTGAACTTATTGTACATCACCGGTTACTATGGCACTGTATCTGCTAACGTTACTCCACTGCCTTATGGATTAAGCCTGTAAGTCAAAGGCTCGGGGAGTAACTGCCTAATAAATCCACCTTCGATTTGGTTGCTCAGACAGTATGCATCCTCGCTCAACTCCAAGTATTTCATTCCATTTTTAGATTCATTATAACGGTCATATCCCAGGTTAGTTAAGTGATTCTCTTGTTAAGGTAATTAAGTTGAAGTTGAGTTTTCATATCATATAGTATATAGTACATTTACTAAAGTATTTTGTTTACAAGTCTCTGTTTCATCAAAGTTACCCTTCTTTTGAATTTGGTCTGGTGATTAGACATGTCGGTAGTGAAATAGCGGTCACTAATAACACTGGATGCTCGCTGTGCTGTATTGCTAACCGATCATAGCTGTGGTTGTACCAAGTTAGTGCTTTTAATGTTAAGAATAACACCTAATGGTCTTAAGTTCAATCTTTCATGAGGTCATGGTTCCCCACTTATTACAACGACATAGTCATCCAATGCTTCTTCAATGTCATTTTATAAAACCTACTAAAATCAATCTGTGGTGAATACAAATTAGTATCATCAATTATTTTTCATATTAATCTATCCTTCTATATTCTCCAGCGCCTTATTTTCTTGTTTCCCATAACTTGTCTTCAAATATTTTCCTTTTTATCAGAAAAATCTTCCTCGCCTTCGTCACCATCACCATCGGAAGCATTTCGTCGGGCGGTTGTCAGTGATGAAAGATCATTTACACCAGATTTGCTAGATCAAGCTTGTCGTGTATTAGATCGAATTGCTGCACCGATAGATTTATGCAATAAATTCTCTGAAGCTGTTCGCCTGATTAAAGTATGCGACTTTTTTTTACGACTTATTTATTGATTTTTGATTTGTGTTGGTGTTTGTGTGAATATGAAAATTGCGATCAACTTGTATTTTGTAACACAGTGATTCATCTGGTCATCCTAACGGTAATATGACTATCGCCGACTGACGGGTTGATTTTTTTGTCATTATGTGCGCGATATCAATGAGATCACTGTTGTCAATAAGTCGAAAATGTTTGGTGATTAGAGGTGTATTCTTGAGTGAAACCGTGAACTGAAGTCACATGCTAATTTCACTTACTAGCAAGACGTGACTTTGAACTTATAAAAAATGTTATCACATGTAAGGTTTGAAACCGCTTTATATTATGAGACTTTACTGCTGAGATATTTACCTTTTTTAGCTGACCTGTTGTTAGAACAATGTATCAGTATTTTGTTATGACAGCTATCGGGAACTAATGAGAAATTGTTCTAGAAGACGTCTATGTAGAAATAGTTATCACAATTCGTAGATCGATATAAATGAGATTGAAGATAAATAAAAGATGAATTAAAACAATGAGAAAAATGAAAGGTTGTTTAGGTCTCAACTTTTCTGATATGCTCATCAACTGATTTGCTTGAATGCTATTGCGAGTTCACTTAACTCGGTAAACGGAACGAAGAGCACTGACTCAGTAGTTACACGATAGGCTATCCCGGATACCATTGTCCCCGGCCCTGCTAAATAGATCAAGAAGTCTTAATTAGACGTAGAGAATGTATTCTACAAACACCCAGAAAATACGAGGTGTCTAAGCTTATTTATACAATGATAGAAACGCCCTTGGTGAGAGCCACAAAATAGCGCACTAAAATAATCCATCAACCAATGAGACTGTCAAGGAGTTTCCGAGTGGGAAATATTATTCGCTGAAGGTCAACTAGCACGAAAATATGGAGATTCAAAACTTCCGAATAAAAATAAATAAATAGTTAAGACCTTTCCAAGCAAGTTCTTGGGGATCTAACCTCCTTAACATTTTCCAGCGAAATTCGCACACTCAGAAACTCACACCTAATCCATTTTTGTTTGATTATGTAAACACACTTATATCCCACTCCTTTGTCATGTTAGTTGTTCTCTATCGTGAAAATATGTATCAGATTTTCCTCTATATGTGTTCAGCTATAGGAAGTATATATACATTTACATTGCTATGATAAATTTACAATTAAAAACTTGTAGGATAATGGCTCAGTGATTAAAGTTCTCAACTCTCAGCCACTAAATGACAAGTTCAATGCCCGTCCTCTCTTGCTTCGGATATAAGCAACCTAGTAATAATACTAAATCTTATGCACCATAGAGTGTGAATCAAAGCCAAGCACACAAAATATTTCACTGGTAAATGTGTTAATAAAGGAACTGACAATATTCACTTATGGAGAATTTGAATACTCTAGATCATAATTTTCACCTCAGTAGTTTTATCGTGAAATGATTTCTAGTCAATTTTGGTTGTTTGAAACCTTGTTTGTTATTTAACATTTTCTTAAAAAAATCAACAATATATCCCCGTTGGTTGTTGTTATTGTCTAATCTTATCGTCTACATAATTCAAATTTCCAAACAATTTTAACTATTAATTAATGTTCGACAAATCTGCAATTCTAACAAGAGTTCATACCAAAAGATTCATAGTTAGTGATCTAATCGGCATTCACATATCATGCACTAAATGCCAACAGTTTTCTATTTATCCTCTCTACCAAATTTTTAACGTATCTATCAATGACTTTGCTCAGCAAAACCGTTTGCAATGGCACCGGGTGCATTTATTCTTTGTGTTCTCTCAAATCCTAATCTTCTGGATTCTTCAGACACCTCTAGTTTTTTGTCTTTCTAAACTTATCTCACTGAATCATACTTCTTGAATAATATCTTCTAATCCTAATCTCTCTGATTACTTGTAATACCTTTACTACCTCTACTACTATTGGATTTGAATTGACAGTGACATCTCTGTGTGCTAATATGGTATGGCAACATGAACTGATTTACTTACGTACGAAGTTCTGCGTTGCATCTAACTGACTGACTGAATAACTTTACTCAAGTACTGGTTAATGGGCAATAATAAGTGACCATCTGAACTTTATGCTTATTCATCATCTAACCACTAGTAGTATTCCTCTCGCCTTATGCTACAGTGTTTCGTTACTCTTTTACCATCCTCTGTTTCCATCTTACAATCCTATTCAGTCAATCAATCAACGATGATGATGAATACGTACAGCAAATTAGTCTTAAAGTGTTAACCTCAATTATCCTTAACTTGAAAGTACACTTGTTGTAAAACGTTAACTATATAAAGACTATGCAAGAATAGCACATATATAAATCAACAATTTCTTTTATTTTATTCTTTTTTTAAAACTCAAAATTAAAAAATATATGAAACAAAAATCATTTAACAATCTATTGAATTTCTTAACACAATATTCACATATCATTTGATTTTTGTATCGATTTTACTAGTAGATATTATTGAACTTGTATAGTAAGTAGTAGTAGTAGTAGTAGTGTGGGAGGACTATAATGATGAATAGCTGTTAACTAGCCAAACACATTTCACGTTGATAAACATTCTCTATCCAATATCATAAATTCCGCATCTTGCTTACTTACTTACTGACGCCTAATACCCCCAATGGAGCATGGGCCGCCCACCAGTTTTCGTCAACCAACTCTGTCCTGGGCTTCCCTCTCCAGTTCTGTCCAATGTTTGTTCATTCCTCTCATATCTCTCTCTATTTCTCGGCGTAATGTGTTCCTTGGCCTTCCTCTTTTCCTTTTGCCTTGAGGGTTCCATGTGAGGGCTTTTCTCGTGCTGCAGTTAGGTGCTTTTCGTAGTGTGTGTCCTATCCACTTCCACCGCTTCTTCCTGATTTCTTCCTCTACTGCAATCTGGTTTGTTCTCTCCCACAGTTCGTTGTTGCTGATCGTGTCTGGCCAACGAATACGAAGTATTTTGAGTAGACAGCTGTTAATAAATCTTGTATCTTCTGGATGATGCCTTTCGTAGTTCTCCAAGTTTCCGCTCCATACAGTAGAACTGTCTTGACATTTGTATTGAAAATCCTGATTTTGATGTTGATTGATATTTGTTTGGAGTTGCAGATATTTTTCAACTGTAGAAATGCAGCCCTTGGTTTGCCAATCCGTGCCTTCACATCTGCCCAGATATGTAAAGGTGTTAACGTCCTCCAAGGCATCTCCATCAAGATTGATTTGGTTGGTGCATGTTGTGTTTTATCGGAGAATTTTGCTTTTCCCTTTATGTATGTTGAGACCTACTGCTGCAGAGTCTGCTGCTATACTGGTCGTCTTCTCTTGCATTTGTTGTTGCGTGTGCGATAGAAGAGCCAGATCATCTGAGAAGTCTAGATCGTCCGCATCACACACTCAATAAAATGAAATGAAGTGAAACGAACTAATGGTGAATGTTGAATTGAACATTCACATTGAAATTTGATGGATTTTTTTCTGATTGTTTTGATTTGTAGGCTGAAAATGTAATCAAAGCTGAAGAAGAACTAGATTTTGATGATGCACCAGATGAATTTATCGATCCAATTATGGGTTGTTTAATGGAGGATCCGGTGAGATTGCCTACATCTGGTCATATAGTTGATCGTAAAACTATCTATCGTCATTTGTTAAAGTATGTTTTTATTTCATTGAATTGTATCTGGTTTGTTTGTTTGTTTTCGGAAAGAGAAAAATTAAATATGGACATATTTTTACCAGTCTCTTTTTGCATAGATTATACAATCACATGTTTTACAAACTTTTTATTCTCAGTGATATTTTACATAAGGAAGACTTTTTAATTAACATAGTAGGATAGTATCAGTCAGTCTGTTAGTTAGTTACAATGTAGAACTTTGTATGGTACGTACATTTATCAGTGTTCAAGTTGTCATTACCATATTAGCACACATAGAGACGCAATTGTCCATTCAAATCCCATAATAGTAGAGGTAGTAGAAGTATTAACAGTAATCAAAAAGGTGAAAGGTCGAATATATCATTCGACATGTATACGAGCAATGTTTTGTGGTGTAGGAGTAGGTTGGACGAAAGCTAGGGGCTGCCAGACCAAATCATGGCACAAATCCGTAAAGTCACTGACAAGTGGACTGAGTCATGTTGATAGATGTAGGCTACCTGGTTGAGGTCCACGAGACGAAAGTCACCGATGGTTAGAGACCTTGAACAACATGGCTCAGAGTCGTTTGCAATGGCGCAGATGCATTCACTCTGTGTTCTAAGTCTAACCTTCTGAATGCCTCATAATCTCTACCTTTCTCCTTCTAAATTTATCTTACTGAATCGTACTTCTCGAATCATATCTGCGAACCCTAATCTTTTCCATTACCGCTAATTCTTCTACTATCGCTATCACTCTTGGATCTGAACTGACAGTTGCATCTCTGTGCTGATATAGTATGGCAACCTGAACTGATGTACTTACGTATGAAGTTCTGCGTTGTATCTGTCTGTCGACATGTATAGCCCAGAAGCAATCTATTAAAAACGAGAAAAAACGGTCATGAAGATTTCAGAAGATTAGGATTCGGAGAAACAGTAAAAATCGATGCACTTGTACCATTGTAAACGGTTTTGAAGCATATCATTCAAGATCTCTAACCATCGATTACTACCAACTAGTCTACATCTACCAACACGACTCAGTCCACTTGTCAGTTAGTTCATATCTTTGTGCCATGTTTTGGTTTGGCCACTCCTAGCTTTCTTCCAACCTACTCCTACACCACAAAACATAGCTCGTGGAGGCAGTCGGTGGTTAGGCATACGTAACACATGTCCCAACCGCCTTAACTGATGAAGTTTCACTACTTCATCTATTTATCGGTCATCCTTACTTGATACCAGTTTCATTGCTTGCTCGAGTGTCCGAGGATATACTGGCAATGCTTTGAAGACACCTATAATCGAATACTAATAACCTACCAATATCTTCTAATCTTACTGGCCATGTTTCACACCCGTATAGTAGGACGGAGTCAACTGTTGCGCAGTAGACTCGTCCTTTGGTTAGCATATGGCACTCCCGAGATAAGTGAGGTGGTAAACTACTTCACTCCCTATTAATAGTTCAGGTGTCGATACAAGCCAATGCTGAAGCAATATTTCGCATCTCGACGGGGAGAATAGCATCCCCCGACTCGAACTCTTCATAGGCAAAATACAAGCTAGTCAGAAATAAACATTCTTGTTTTTTATTAAAGGATTGTTGTACGGAACAGTTGATTTTTGGTTCGGTTTTGTAGAAAGACTTACATCACAAGGTTGTGAAGATTGTTAAGTTACTCATTGACAAAATCATGAATCGATCAATGTTAGACGACCATTAGAAACTTGGGAGAACTGGACGGCCGTTTCGTCCTGGTATGGGACTCATTAGCAAGGCCGTGAATTGATCGAAGTTAGACGTTAGATACCGGCCCTATCGTCCAGAGGTTAAGCGTTCGCGCGCAAGACCGAAGGTCCTAGAACTAATTCGTTGGTTCGTGTTACCTAAAATCTAATGTCACACACGTATCATGAAAATATTAGTTCTTAGAACTTGAATAATACTCATCGTGAAGTTATTAAATGCTTAACTATGAGACAAAATATCACCTATAGAAATAGATTTTGTAGTAGTCTCATACCTACTAGCTGCTTAGTGTTCATTATTAATGTTACGTCATATGAAATGAATGCCAATGATCAGGTTAAACTTGATAAAATTTAAGTAAAACTACTTTAAAGCTTAAAGTAAACGAACAAGCAAAAATTCATTTAGATTAAAAAAAAATAAAAATTGTTAGAGAAAAGTGACGTTCCACAACTTCATAGATCACATCAATTAATCTGGATGTACTAGGTGTTCAATCCTCTGATGAGTCCGAAACCAGGGCGAGACAACTATCCAATGCTTATCTAATTTTAAATTCAGTCTGTGATTTAAATTACAAAATGAAACAACTTTTTTTTAATCGTCTTATTATACTACTAATAACATCCATTTGTGTATTTATTCTATTAAATTTAGTGATTCAACTGATCCATTTAATAGACAACCATTAACAATGCCTCAGGTTGAACCACAAGACCAATTACGTTCAACTATTCGAGCATGGATTGATGAACGTCGTCGTGCACATAAAATTACCAAAGACCAATAATACTCAGGGTTGAAGTACAGAAAACTTCTTCTTAATTTATACATTTATATATATAAATATAAATATAAGTACATTGTGGTACACTAATTTGCTAACATAATTACCAGTTATTATTATTATTGTTATAATTATTATTGCTACTTGACTTCATAGTAGTCTGAATAAACAAAAATGCGAAATTTGTGCGTATTATAGAAGAATATTCAACGTCTGATTTCATCTTCATCTTGATTGACATGGCGTACACACTTTATGATTACTATTATTATTATTATTGTTATTTTTTCAGTGATATTATCTTTACAGTAACAACAACAGCAACAACAACCAGAAGTTACGAATTGTACGCAATAGAAACAAAGTCTAATATGACCAGAAGAATCAAACACAATGACAACGCGTATTTATATTATGCATGTGGTGTTGTTTGTGATCATGTGTAAAATTCTCTTGTTATTATTATTATTATTACTTATTATATACAAATTGAGTTGAAATTAAAAAAAGTTAGTTAAAAGCATTGCTCCTTTTGAAAACACAAAGTACACAGATTTGCACTTGGTTTTGTAAATTGTATCATAATTTTTTTGTTTGTGATGGTGTTTGGCTCTCTGAGCTGGATATTTTGGTTGTGAAGTTTTCATTGTTCGCCTTATGAACAACATCGTCAACACAAACTTTTTGCTTACTATCATTTAAAAAAAATGTCTACATAAACATAGAAATAACGGGATGATGATTTATCGCACAGTCTAGTATTAACCGGTAACATCGAACCATTTCATGCTTATGTACATGTCTATTTGTATCACTCAACTAGTAAAATCAGGTCTGTGATAAATGTTTTAAGATTACTTAGTAAAAGCGAATGCTCCTAGCATTGATAACCGCGAAAAATGAACGAAGAAAGTTCTCTTTCTTAACCCTTGACCATCGTTGATAGCTTTTTAAAGTGAAATCTAATCAGCATGTTAAGAGTTCGTAACACGAAAAATTTAGTAGAAATAATCTTCTGTACAAGGAGTCATTGCTTTTGCATTAAACACTTTCTTTGATGTTAATAAGTTGAAACATATATCCACATTTGGATAACAACTTTTCCACAGATATTGCTCATTGTTTCCATTACTCTGACAGACAGATACAACGCAGAACTTCGTACATACGTACATCGATTCAGGTTGCCATACCGCATTAGCACAGAGACGTAACAACTGTCAGTTCAAATCACATAGTGGTAGCGATGGCGAAAGTATTACTGATAATGGAGAAGATTAAGGTTCGAAGATAAGATTCAAGAAGTGTAATTCAGTGAGATAACTTTAGAAAGTGAAAGATAAAGGTTAGAATTTGAGAGAACACAAAGAGTGGATGCACTTGTACCATTGCAAACGATATTTAGCCATGTTCAAAGTCTACAACCATTAGTGACCTTCGTCTCGCGGACCCCAACCAGGTAGCTTACATCTACCAGCATGACTCAGTCCACTGCTCTGTGTCAAAATGTTGCCAGGTTGCGTTATTATCTAACTTATATTATTAGTCACGATAGGTAGTAATCATCCTCACTAATCACATCCACATATGTTACCTCATCATTGGGTAGGTGACAGAATGATGGTGTAGTAGTATGGAGTGGGTAATATAAACCACCCAATGGATAATAGCAGTGTATGCCACATTCAACATCCGTTAAGTCTATTTGAGAAAGCATACAAATCACTTCAGAAAATCCCAATATGTTTTTATTTTCATCCCCTTCCTATATTTCTGTCATCCGCAGATCAATAACAACATTTTTAAATCTCGGATTACCTAACGATGTAATCACTTCTTATTCTTCTCAGGTTTATCAAACAAGAATGTACCGCTTATGTAAATGATTCGGTCGCCGACTATTTACAATTCTGAATTTCTCGAATGTCGAAGAACGACAAGCATCTAAAGTATTCTATATTTCGTGAGATTGCCGCTCCAGTCAATAGGGAAAAACACAATCATACTGTAAAAAGCCAATAAAATACTCGTTTACACTGTAATTGTCGCATTTATTCACAGAAAAATAATGAGAAACATAGTTCGTATAAAATCACATCATTAGAAGAAATAATATATCCGTTTGTTGACAATTTTGATTGCGTTTCGATCAGTCTTGGGTTCAACTACTTGCCATAAATGGGCAGCCCTCGTGGAGCATGGACCGCCGACCAACATTTCCCAACCAACTATGTTTTGGCTCCCCTTTCTAGTTTCTCTCAAGTGCTGTTCATTCGTCTGATGTGACTTCAGTTCTCGTTCCAATGTGTTCCTTAGTCTACCGCTCTTACTTTGGCCTTCAGGGTTCTAAATTAGAGCTTGCCTCGTGACGCATTTGTGTGACTTCCGCACTGCTTGTTTTATCCACCTCAAACGTTTTTCTTAATTTTGTATCAGCTGTTGAAAAAAGTAATATTCTTCTAAGAATCGACCACAATAAACCAAAACAAGATTTTGGAATATAATTTCAAACTTCCCAAATCCCATACGTAAATTTGAATCTCGTGGCGGCCTTGGAAGTTCAATTTACATATATACATATTATTTGGTAACCAAATAGACTTCAACTCTTGCCTTCTCGCTCATGTGACCGGTGTAAGAAGCTAAGCTAGTGTGTTTCACGTTCAAACTCCGGACACCTTCCATTATAACACAACTTTAGCGATTACTGCGGAAATGCACTTAAAATTGTTCTTTGGAGGGTACATACACCTAAAACTGTACCTGTCATACTCGGATAAACCTGCGTTATAGCTTGGTTTTTCTGGTTATACACATTTGAAATCATCAATCAATCATTGTTAGACCACCATTAGAAACCTGGAAGCACTGAAAGACGGCCATTTCGTCAGCAGTGCGCATCCACGACTCCTGCACCTCGCAAGATTCGAACCCGGGGCTATCAGTATTATGTGGTTAACTCGGTTTGAGTTATTGATTGATTCAGTCTACTGAATATTTTAGTTGATTTAGTACTTAGCATGTAGTGAAGGAGAACACAGGTGGGGCAACCGAATCGTATTTAACGAAAATTACAGTTACTCAGTAAAATCTGAAAACCATATCTTAAATCGTTAATTTGCAAAATATCAGTCCATCATATCGAACTGGACTGTTCCTGTTGCAAAACATCAATCCATTGTCACTATTCATGCGTTTCATACAAATTCCATTGTGTTCTTCTAACTCTTCCTTTCTTGATCTTCCCCCATCTTCTGCTTCCAGACATTACGTTGACGCTCACGTCATATACTACTGATAAGTAGCTCGCACCACAATCATAATATGAATTGCTTTCAAACAACTGTAAAGGAATTAAATCGAATTATTAAGTATCATTAATATATTTACATTCTATCCAATATCCAATGTATACTTTATTATCAGTGTACAACAAATGAATAACAAAAAATTTGAAACTAGACGATAATAATAAAATTCATAGAAAGGAATCATTCAAAAAAATTTATAAACAATGATTTGATTTCACAAGAATAAAATATTAAGATTTAATTTGACAACAAGAAATAATAGAAAGCAATAATGAAGGAATGTATTTTTTTTAAAGCTTTTATGCAATGAAAAGTTGATGAGAAGTGGTTAAATTCAATCTGGGAGATTAAAATAACACACAACAGATTATCTCACATATTTACAAAATATAATGATTTTACAACAACAACAACAACAACAAGAAAATTTACTAGACACCTAAATCATAAGCACACAAAAAAAAGAACTGCACTTTATTTCCGTTAAACCAAATGGATGCTACTAATATCAAGTTTGTTAATAAGTAGTATATGAATACATCGGAAAAAAAAATTTGATCACAACGAAGCATGAAAGACAAATAATTCAAATAAAAACAACTTTTTAATAATAATAATTTTTGTAAAGATGGACCAGTGAATGAATGCATCATCTATCTATCTCTTTAAAAGAGAATTATCGAAATTTCGTGAGAATCAATAAAACACCGGATATAACAACTAAACCAGCTAATACAAGAATAATAATCATTTTACGATCTTTCGATTGATGACTTTGAGCTTTTTTCAAATGTTTCAAACCTTCTTCAATTCGAATTTGAGTATGTTCTACATTGTAATCAATACGATCTATTAATGTGCCCTTGGAAAAATGGAAATAGAATAAAGTTATGAAGAAGCTTTTATCAATGAGATGATGATAAAGCATACAACTAACTGATTTGTTATGAATTAAAAGACTATTTTCAAATTGTTCAATTCAGTGATTACATACTTTGAATAAATTTAAACAGTTCTAAAGGGTTTCGTCATAATAATTGAGACACGTCAGCTAGATAAATACCTCAAACCAAGAGTTTATATTTGTTTTACTCGAATGATTAGATATAGACAGACAATCATTTTTATACGAAATGTATAAAAACCATGAGAGCGTTTTTTACTCTAGTCGTGTTCAGTGATACATGCCTTCAAATGCCGTGGTATGTGTGAGACTGACGACAGTTCACTCCCTCCAGTTTCGAAATGCTTTCATTTGTCCTTGAGTATATAGTCACCACCCAGGAAGTCATATTCACTGCCTCCACGTGGCATAAGTGCCGTTTACGAAATTGAGAGGATGAAAAGTGAGTTTTCAGTGCTCGAGGAGTAAATTCTTAATAAAACCACCTGCTTAGGTGTGGGCGTCCGGACAGTATTCAATCCTAACCACAAATTCAAAAGTTTTATACTAAAAGACTACTTGTAAGTAATATATATAGATTAAATGAAATTCACTGGTGATGCGATCTACTGTATTGCTTTTCCAGGCATCTAAAAATATCGTCAATAAAATGCAATCTTGTTAGGCATTTTAGGATTGATAGACAAAAAATTAGTATCAATATGGTGATGTCATACCAGTACAATTATGAACTTTTTCTCTCATCAATAATGCTGAGTTATGTTTACTCATTGTGAATGAATTGTATGTTTCATGTTGGAGCTTGTTTAACTCATCAAAACATATTGAGGTCAATATAAACTATCCAAAGATCTTTTGAAAACATAAGATTATGATTTCAGACATAAACTTTACATCCTAATTGTCTACCGTAGGTAATTCTAGTGTGATGAATATGTCTCTTAAAATTTTAAGTTTGCAAATTACAAGACCAGTTATTGTATTGTCCTCAAGTGAGCGATCCTACCCACCCATCCTTTCTCGAAGCCAAACATTATTCACTGCCGAATAGGAATAATCATGTCTATTTCACACAGCTTTTTTTCGGATCTTTAGTTAGTATCCACGTTTATCAATCAAGAACAAACATATTAGCAAAGCTGTGCAAAGCTTTTTTGACGAATTTGAAAGCAACCGGATTCTTATTTGAATCTATATTTGATAAATCTTGGTAATGTGCACTGTATCTGCGTTGAGCGTTAAGTATAGATTGAAATCATAGGTAAAAGGGGGGTAGAAATCCGCCTGTAACCCTTCTAGGGTTAATGCCGGTCCCAAGCCCAGATAACGGAGGACAGTCAGGCATGGAGTAAGCTATCCCCCATTCCGTAGAAAGCATCCTAGGTAAAAAAAACGGTAAACACAAAAACTACTTAGAACATTTAAACTCTGCCGTTGGAGTTGAAAGGTCTTCATTTGAAAGAGTTATGAGGCTTCATGGTGAAAGTCGAATTTTTTCGGAAGCCACAAGACCGATGTTCCGTCTGACAACCAGAGCAACAGTTAATATAGGTACACGGAATGTTCAAACAATGTGAGGGACCGGAAGAGAACCATTCAAGTTGCGGCCTTTTTTCGGGATACTGAAAAACTCTACGGATTAAAAATAGCTCTAAGCAACAAGTTCTAAGCCTTTCACTATCTACTCAATGGAAAACAACTAGAAAGGGATCAAGGAGGAAATCATTTCAAGATATCACAAGGTTCTGGGCCACAAGAAGCACCATCACAAGGAATGGATCTCTGTTGATACTCTGCATAGGATTCAAGAAATGAAGAACAGGAAGGTAGCAATTAGTAACAGCCGAACAAGAGCAGAGAAAGGCAAGGCACATACCGAATACACAAAAGAAAACAAGCAGGTGAAAAAAGGCATCAAAACCGACGAATGGAAATATGTGGACGATCTAGCAAGGACAGCAGAAAAAGATGTAAGAGAAGAGGACATGAGAACACTATACTATAAAACGAAGAACCTATCTGGAAAGTATGGTAAACCAGAACGACCGGTCAAGAATAGGGGAGGCAAACCAATCATTGAGATTCAAGAGCAACGGATCAGGTAGATAGGACACTTTGAAGAACTCTTGAATAGATCAGCCTCACTGAATCCACCCGACATCGAATCAGCACTTGTAAACCTTTCCACAGACATTACTTAACTAACTATCGAAGAGATCTGCATGGTTATCAGACAGATCAAGAATGGCAAGACAGTAGGATTAAACACCATGCCAGATTAGGCACTGAAGTCTGACATAGAAGTAACCGCAAGGATGCTCCATGCCAATCTTCAATACGATCTGGGAGGAAGAAAAAGTAAAATAAAATCTGGAGATCAGCAGGCTGGATTCCGCAGGGACCGATCATATATCAACAAAGTGGCGACACTACGGATCATTGTGGGATAATCAACTGAATGGAACTCACCACTATATATCAACTTCCTCGACTATGAGAAATTATTTGATAGCATGGACAGGATGACACAATGGAGGATTCTTTGTCTCTATGATGTGCCTCAGAAGTTATGGAATTCTTATGATGGATTAAACTGTAATAAGATAGTGCATGGAGGTTTGCTCAAAAATTCGTTCCAAGTGAAGACCAGTGTACGGCAAGGTTGTTTATTCTCACCTTCTCTCTTTCTTCTAGTGACTGACTGAATTAGGAAGCTCTCAACATCTGAGCTGAAGCACGAAACACAGTGGACAGCTCGGATGCAGCTAGAACGATTCGGGTTTCTCAGATCACCTAGCCCTTTTATCCCACTCAAAGCAACAAATGCAAATGAGGACGGCTAGTGTGGCAACAACCCCTGTAGAAGCAGGGCTCAAAATACACAAAAGAAAAAACAAGATCCTCTGACACAAAATAACATGCACCAACCAAATCACACTTGATGGAGAAGCTCACGAAAATGTGTTAATTTTTATATGCCTGGACAACGCCATTGATAAATAAGGAGTATCTAATGCAGATATGCATGTACCGACCAGTAAAGCAAAGGCAGCATTTCTACAGTCGAAGAACATCTGGAACCGAAAACAACTGTCAACCAAAGTCACAATTTTTAATGCGAACATCAAGACAGTTCTGTTGTATGGAGCGGAAACTTCTAGAACTCAGGAAAGACATCATCCAAAAAATGCAAATGTTCATAAACAATTATCTACACAAGATACTCCGGATTCATTGGCCAGCCACCATCAGTAACAATCTGAGAACTAACCAGATTATAGTTGAGGAAGAAATTAAGAAAAGCGCTGGAGGTGGGTCGAAAAAATATTCCTGAAATCTCCCAACTGCGGTAGACCGAAGAACAGCCAACCACCAAGAGAACTTAGGTCGGACATTAAAAGAATGGACAGCGATTGGGTAGAACTAAAAAAGGCCTAGGAAAGAGAAGGTTGGAGAATGCTGGTTGCGGGCCTAAGTTTCATTAAGGGTAACAGTCGTAAGTACATATATAAACATATACAGTCAGTTGATCAGAAAATGTTTAAATTACTTACTTGATCCACAACCATCTGAGCAACATCTCGAAAAATGTCGTTTAATTCACAAATAGACTGAACAATCTGATGTATTTCTTGTTCACGCTGTACAACCATATTTGTATTTTCTGTAAGTAATAAACTTCGTCTTTGTTTCTGCGATTCCCAAACCTGCATTCATATTGTAACAAGTAAACATTTTGATCAGCAAAAAAGTAACAATTATTTGGATCGAAAAGCTAGGCGACTAATATTTGTATTGAAACATAAATTGTTGGTCAATAGTGAATAATTTTCGAGACACTGATAAAAAAGATCTTGTGTAAAGTCCGTAGCCGCCTGTTACGCATGCAGTCAGTCAGTCAGATGCAACGTAGAACATCGTACATAAGTACATCAGTTCATGTTGCCATACCACATCAGCACACAGAGATGTTATTGTCAATTTGTATCCCATAGCAGTAGAGATAGTAAAGGTATTAGAAGTAATCCGAGAGGTTAGGATTAGAAAATATTATTCAAGAAGTATGATTCAGTGAGATAAGTTTAGAAAGACAAAAAACTAGAGGTGTTGAAGAATCCAGAAGATTAGGATTTGACAGAACACAAAGAATAAATGCACCGGCGCCATTGCAAACGGTTTTGAGCCACGTCATTAAGGGTCTCTAACCATCGATTATTATCATCTCGCGGACCCCAACCAGGTAGTCGACAACTACCGACATGACTCAGTCCACTCGTCAATGACTTCATGGATTTCTGCCATGTTTTGGCTTGGCCGCCCCTAACCAACCTACTCCTACACCACAAAACAAAGCACGTCGAGGCAGTCGGTGGTTAGGCATACGCAGCACATGTCCCAACCACCTCAACTGATGGAGTTTCACTACTTCATCTATTGATCTGCCATTCTTACCTAGCACCCGTTTCCTAATAACAGCGTTGCTCACTCGGGTGTTCCAGGATATACGAGCAATGCTTGGTCGAAAACCAGTAACCTGTAACCAGTAACTCTGTTACGCATGCACATAAACACGTCATTTGATATGCTTGAACTATTACGAGTTTACCTTAGTCATAAAATGAGAGCGAGGATCGAGGATCCGGCGACATGACAAGCTGCTCTAATCCGAGTGTCCCAAACTCTCATTGAGTACAAGATGAAAACATGTATTCTACAAGCATCCAGAAAGTACGAGGTCCGAGTCCAGAAGAGAATCAGAATCCCGGACTTGGAGTCCTGGTCATAAAACGTTACAGATAATGCGTCTTTATACAGTTAGGTCGAATCGGAAACACTGAAGTATGTAACATTGATAGTTAGGACCACCAATAAGAAATACCGTTTGGAGTGACAGTGATAGTTAGGATGACCAATAGAACTAGACTTACAAATAATTCTCTTAGGATATTGGATGAATATCCTAACACCTCCTGTGCGCCAACAGCATCGAGTGTTTTTATCTGACTACATTGAAATAATTCACGTGTCTTACCCCAATTTGAAGTAAACTTCAAGTAGTCGGGCTTGCCTATCGTGATGACCCAACCGAGCTATACTGGCTGGAACATATGTCCCTGTAAGTTCTACCATGCCAGGCAGGTCGATTGGAGAACGATCAAACTAAAAACAGCAACTCAAGGTCTGAGGGCGAAGTCGTACTGCTGACTGCAGAGGGGTGTGACAGCAGTAAGGTGTTTCCCTCGGACAACCAGTAGCTGCAGCGATGCTGCCTTCTCAAAAGGAAGGAAGGGTTAGGAAAGGTCGGCCCTAAAAATGTCACACCTCCCCTACCTCACGGATTTCCGTCTCCTTGGGTAAGGGTGCCCACTAATGGCTTTTAAGAGCGGAGCTAATACTCTAAAAACCTTTCATCAAGAGGCCGTGCGTGACCGGCTTCAAGCAGTTGTCCCCTGGGCTCTGCGGTCACGCACCCAGGTCTCTAAGACCAACAATAATCTACCTTCCTTTTCAGGTCCCTCAAGAAACAACCTTCCACGGTGTGGGCAGCCGGGAAGTGACAACCGCCCTCATACCCATAACAGCACACGAGACCAAATTGGTCAAAATCAAATCCTTCCTATACCCCCTAATATCTTTCTTATCTCAAACTCCAAGTTGTTACAACTGAGTGCTGTTAAACCGAATGAAAGATTCAGCAGATGCCCAACTTTGAGAAGTATCCTTTGAACATCTTCTTTCTGGTTAATTTATATTTTCGTTTTAAACTAGATTTATTTCTGGCAAGCAAACTTACGTGTTGATAGATTTTAGAAAAAACGCTGTCAAGTCGACAGATTCTACTAAACAACGCTCTTATAATTTTTAATATTTCTCATCACTTAGAAACATGAATATGTACTACTAGTTCGACAGTTTACATATAAACCTGCGTCACTTATGGCGTAGGCGTGATATCCGTTCGCTAACCAAAGGACGGGTGTACTGCGCGGCAGTTCGCTCCGTCCTCCTATATGGCTGTGAAACATGGCCAGTAAGAGTAGAAGATGTTCGTAGGTTACTAGTATTCGATCATAGATATCTTCGAAGTATTGCTCGTATATCCTGCGACACCCGGGTGAGCAACGCTGTTATTAGGAAACGGGTGCTAGGTAAGGATGGCAGATCAATTGATGAAGTGGTGAAACTTCATCAGTTGAGGTGGTTGGGACATGTATTTTATATGGCTAACCACCGACTGCCTCGACGAGCTATGTTCTGTGGTGTAGGAGTAGGTTGGAAGATATTGGATATAAAATAGAAACCCCAAAATATATAATAAAAATAAAATTATTTAGAGAAATGCATTCAACTTACAGCATAATCACCATCTTCAAATTCATTTACAATATTGTTAGTTGATGTATCTTCTATATTTAAATCTACTTTTAAATAACTACGTATTCGTTCATCTCTGGATCGAAGTTCTGAAAAAAATAAAATAAAATAAAACAAACTACACTTAACATTACAATTTTCAAAGATAACAAAATTATCCAATTCAAATTGTCGGTAACTTTAATAAACTTATATACATTGAAATGAAATAGAAAGATTGTCATGGAGTAGATAGTAGAAGTGATTAATCTTCTCCATTACTGCTAATACTTCTATTCAGTCAGTCAATCAGTCAGATGCAACGTAGAACTTCGTACCTAAGTACATCAGTTCATATTGCCATACCACATCAGCACAGAGATGTAATTGTCAATTCAAATCCAATAGTACTAGAGGTAGTAAAGGTATTAGGAGTAATCGGAGAGGTTAGGATTAGAAGATATTATTCAAGAAGTATAATTGGGTGAGATAAGTTTACAAAGTTAAAACTAGAGGTGTTGAAGAACCCAGAAGATTAGGATTTGAGAGAACACAAAGAATAAATGCACCCGGCGCCATCGCAAACGGTTTTGAGCCATGTCATTCAAGGTTTCTAACCATCAACTATTATCATCTCGCGGACCGCAACCAGGTAGTCGACAATTACCGACATGGCTAAGTCCACTTGTCAATGACTTCATGGATTTCTGCCATGTTTTGGTCTGGCCGCCCCTAACTTTCTTCCAACCTACTCCTACACCACAGAACATAGCTCGTCGAGGCAGTCGGTGGTTAGGCATACGCAACACATGTCCCAACCACCTGAACTGATGAAGTTTCACCACTTCATCTATTGATTCGCCATCCCTACCTAGCACCCGTTTCCTAATAACAGCGTTGCTCACTCTGGTGTCGCAGGATATACGAGCAATGCTTCGAAGACACCTATGATCGAAAACCAGTAACCTACCAATATCTACTCTCACTGGCCATGTTTCACAGCCATAAAGTAAGACGGAGCGAACTACTGAGCAGTAAAGTCGTCCTTTAGTCAGCAAACGGATATCTCGCCTACGCCATAAGTGACGCAGGTTGGCAGGTTGGATACTACGCTGGATAATAACACTTCAATAACAACATTTCAGAAAGCATCAACTGATGATAAATGATCAGATCAGTATGAAACACATATCTGGTGCTTTCTGTGGAACGCCAATATTATATAATATGTGCTTTACAAAACCAGGTGTATAATGTGATATTACACATAATTATATATTTTCTAAATTTAACTGATAAGTTGATTTTTTCAAAAATTAAAAAAAAACGAACTATATTTTACCAAGTAATAAACACAAGGAACAAACAAACAATCATTACCATTTAGATATTTTGATTGTGCCTTTCGAAATACCACTGAAAGATCTTGAAGAGTTCGTGCTAAATTGCATAGAACATTTTCTGTTAATTTAGATTCTTGTGATTGTTGCCATATTGCTGAAGAACGTCTTAATTTGGATAATTGACCAAGTTGACTATGGGATAAATTAAACAACTAATTAAAAATAAAAAAAAGAAAAGAATTTTAAAGTTAAACAAACAAGTTATGTGTAGCAAGAATATTTATCTTTAGAGACCTTAATGATTGACTAACTAACTCCTTTACTCAAAGCTAGTCAGACAGTTAAACGCAACAAAGAACATGGTATATATATGTACATCGATTTAAGATGATACATTCAATAGACAAAACAAGATTTTAAAAAATGTCAGGGGAAATCCCAGAGTAGTAGCAAAAGTAATAGATAAGATTTGGTAGCAAAGACTGAAGAGGTATAGATCAGTAGCTTTTTTCTAACCCACTTCCATACCAGCCATCATCAACTGTCGAGGTAGTAGTTAGATGAACATACGTAATATATATCCTATCTCAATCACTGAAGATTCACTACCACATCAGTCGACTGGCTATCTTTACCCAGTACTGTATCTAGCCTTAGAAAAGCAAAACCCAAGATCCCAGAATATACAATCACTGCTTTGAAGATACCTATGGTATAGTACTAGTAACCTAAAATATCCTGTTTTTCATAGCCATGTTTCATAACCGTAAGGAAGAATGGAGGGAAATGATGTGTAAAAAAATTCAAACTTTAGTTAAAAAAGTATATCTCGCCGACGCTACAAGAACTTAAGTTATCAAAAGCCAATCGAGTTTTCGGAATTCGCGCCAACATTCCGTACAACCCAAAAAACCTTATCATTACTGGCCAATTACTTGATTACTCACAAAGTGTTTACCTTTTATTTGCCTTCAACTAATAAAGACATAATTCCTAATTAAAAAGGCCACAACTCACGGCAGAGGAACAAGGTATGAATTGCTGAGAGACTAAAATTATAGTAAAACGTCTAGATTAGGGTGACAGCTAAGACTAATTCATTTGAAGTGGCAATCAAGTAACAATATACATTTTGTGTACCACTTGATCTACAGAAAATCAATTGGGTATTCCACAGAACTTTTATTATTCAGAAAGTCAACATGAATTCTGGCCAAGATATATAATTAAAATTACAGAACAACCAAATAAACATTTTTATGAAACCAATACATTATAGTAGTAATTGTACTATATTAAGACAAATTAACGAAAATCGAACAAAATGTGAAGTAAATTCAATTACCAAATACCTGAGTAAGCTCTTTAGTTTGAGATTCTATTTCCTGATTTTCATTTAAGTTGTCATCTAAATTTGAAGCCATGAGATGTCGATCGTGAAGAGCGATGACCTCTTTCACTAAGATTTATACAAGTTGTAGAGAAATATAAACTTACTTTTCTGTCGTATCATGCTAAACGTATATTGAAGTGAGTTCACTTTGGTTTGCCTACAAATATGATCATCTAAGAAAATCAAAGACAAACCATTCATTGCGAAAATTCTTAAAAGATGTGTTGTCAAGGGCTTTGTTGCTAGATTTGGATACTAATGATTCTTGATCAGATTTCTAAGAGGAAATGAAGATTTGCAAATGATGTTACAACTTGATTAAAGCCAAGAAAAGAAAATTAACAAACTTCTAGGCATTCAAAGGGTTTCGAAGATACATACGTAAAAGTCTATTCTAGAGCGACATGTTGTCACATGACCGACATGAACCTTGTAGGTCAACAATCAGAAACTAAATGTCACGAAATTATCTGCGATCCCGCGCAAGTCCCATGAGTCAAATGGCCAAGACAAAATATAAAGATATTATAGTTTGACTGATTTGAACCGGATCTTTCTCCATAAATTAACCAAACGATGGAAATTTGTATTATGCCTGATAGAGAACATGTAGTTATTGAATATACTCCAACTTGAAACTTTTAAATTAGTCCATTCAGCGTAGAAGCTGTGACTGAAAATCTCAACAATTGAACTGAAGGCTTAAACACCTCCCAACTTAATTCAGTTTAGACAAACGGGATACAAAACCATCTTAAATATGTGGTCTAAAGTATAAAAACAGAATTGTGTCTGTAAGTTTTATTAGAATTACCAAATTTACACTAACCAGTGCATGATTCGAAATATTCGATTCTGGTCACGTCACTTGAGCTAAAACCACCTAGCCGATCTCCAAAAGCACACCCCATTTAACTAACAAGTGTTAACACTGTTAACAACCAAATTATCGATGCATGTTTATCAATACTTAACTTTCAGCTACATATGAGTGGATTAATCATGCTGCTTGATTAATTAAACTGAAAAAAGAGTCAAGTCCAGGACACAAAATTATGACTGAGAGCTACAGATCATTGGAAGAAGGTACTCAGAGGAAATGATCTATTCAACATGAAACTGGTAACCACGGTTAGTTTTGGTAATACTTACCAAGGGATATTGCCACACCAAAGTGCTAAAATATATGTTATATAGCTGCAAAGCCTTCGCAACTCAGCGCCTACATGTCAGCTGAACTTTCAGTCCACATATGCAGTGCCAATTGACTAACAGCTAATAACTAAACCAACTAAATGTGTATGATGAGCTATAACTGTCTTTTTTTATCATATTTATCTATATACGTAGCTAAGTCTTTAAAGCTAACTAAAAGATTTCGAATATAAGCTTACACTATCATGATAGAAATTCCTGTTTTGAAATGCATTATTTCGCATAAACGTATAGCTTTCCGTCAGTGACCTAAACGCCATCACGTATTTATACCAGGCGGCGTTTCTCAAGGCTGGGTGCTTACGAAATCGAATATCTTTTTCACATAGTAATAAAAACCGATTGATTTGTTTGCAATCGTTTCTTGTTTTTTAGGTACGTAGCCAGGTATCTGGTGATGTATAGTGGATGACAGTCCTGTCATTCTAATGTACTAATTCTAACTTGTTAGCAGTTAATTGTGAATTTGTATATTTTGTTATTTAAGTGAGTGCGTTTGACTCGGAACACTAAATTTTCTAGATATCAGCAGCTACCACACTTTCAAGTCGGAGATTAGTTAGTTTTAAAGTGTAGAACAATGAAAAGAAGTGCTTACACTAAGTAGATGACGAACGTTTCCGAAATAATGAGCTAATAGACGTACAATAATGTGGAGTTCAAATAGTGTAAGAGGATCAAAGTGTAAAGATAACTGATGAAAACGAGATGGTTCTGAGAAATGCCAAATAGGTTGGTGATATGATGCAGTGGTAATGACAAAGACAAACGTGTTTTGAGACATGAATCAGAAACAACTGGTGATGATAATCCATATGCAATATCCAATATCTTTTTCACGAGCTGGTGTGGACCGTTTAGCTTCGTTGCGCTCAATCTGTTTCTTTTGATACGGTTCCTGGTATTTAGTAGTGCCCGATGGATAGCACTTTAGGTATTCGATTGCACTAGTCCGTACGTGATTAGGTATTTTTCAAGACTACGTGGACTTGCCATTTAGGCTCAGGGAGTATTTTAAGTAATGGCAACTACTGATTAGAAGGCATGGGAGTGTAAATTGTTCTTAGCTCTTCAATATGAGGTTTTTCGGGGGCGAATAAAAGTTCGTTCTAAAGATATATTGGTATTATGTTTGCATCAGAACGACTAAGGGTATTTATTATCTTGTAAGCCATTATCAAATAAACTTTTATTCTCCTACAACTGAGCAAGAATAGTTCTAAGTTTAGGAGTCTTCGTAAGACTTGTTCTTTAACGCTTCCACCCACTTAGTTGCCCATCTTAGTAATCGATCGAAGAGATTTGTCTCCGTTAAAGAGAGCGGGTGTGACCGTATTAAAAATTTCAAGATGGGTATGTGTGTTTGTTACTTTGCATAGAGTCATGAACAGCTTCCACGGTTGGCGTGAGTTTTGTGTTTTGAATAACAGGACGAGGAGTGGATCCAAGATTTTCCTCCAGATTTCGACACTTTCCTGCTCACTTGCACTCGACTTTCCTTGATAAGAAACTTGCCATTCATTAAGTAGTTTTGAAGTCTAGATCGAAGAGAACTAGCGGAGATCATCTTCGCAGCCTTTGCCATAAGAAGTGATTTTGCGAAGTCAGGAAACGGTAATTCTTTATCTCAGAGGATTGCCTAGTTTTCCAGTGCTATAATATTAGATACGCAAGATCTGCGTCTCACAGCCCGGCGTTAGGCTTCATAGAGAGAATATACATTCTGCTTCGTAGGTCTTTTTAGTCACTGGCCTAGAAAAGTATTTTGATTTCTCCCATATTTCCTATTTAAGCTTCATCTGGACGTGCCATCATTGCCTCGAACTTTGGGGGTGCAATAGTTTCTGAATACAAAACAAGAGCCATGATAAAAAACTTTCAGAAACCTTCCGCATGGGCCAGGCTCTTCTTTTACTTATAGCAAGCATTCAGTTCCTCACTTAATCTGCCATCTTCTCTTCTCAGGTATGTAACTTGCCCAAAGTATTTTGTGCAGAAGAGCCTGCTGCATCAATGCAGGCCTTATTTTGCCTCCCTACTATAGTCTCACAGACCTAGGTCAGCTCTCACAACATCTAATGTGACTGGAGATATCTGTCTTACTGCTATATCGATTCTGAAGATCCTCAGTCATGTCCTCTCGTTTTTTGAAGTTCACAGACATCAAACGTGTAGACTTAATAAATGTGAGGTATAACGGACGAATGAGTTAAGATTCGTTAGTTTCCATGGTTGTGTGAAGGCCTCTGCTACATGAGGGACAAAATCACTTTTGCATATCAGGTCGCTGAAGTTCATCCTAACTACAAACTACAAAACCAAGCACTTTAGGAACCACCATACTTGGCGGTTCTTTGGCGTTTATTGATGTTCAAGTTGCAGTTTTTGCTGACCACGGTTTCTCCAGTCAAACTCGTATTTAGGGGGGTAGTTTAACTGAAGGTCTCAAAAATAATAATAATCTGTTCTCAAATAGCAAAAACTTACAAGAGGCATGCCAATTTACAGGCAAGATCAAAATGTTAAGATCGCTAACATATTTCCGTAAACGAACAAAGTTTTACAAAAAAACATTTCTCAAGATACATTTGCTTCACACAGATGGCTAAAATTTTCCACGTAAAATTGTAGATAATTTTCCAGACTCTGAAATGTACAATCCAATTAATTGGCGCGAGTTTCAGAGATTGCATTACGACGAATTGCTATTGACTGTGAGACGATGCAAGGTAGAAGCAGGTCTGCATATGACAACACTTGGTGAGGTGAATGGGCTGAAATCCCGTTGATATTCTTCAGATAATAAATTTACAGGCTCCTGAGTAAGGTAGCCAAGTCATCATAAAGATCAATCTGAATCCTGGCTATAAATTCATACACATCTTCAGGCTTATAGCTGTATACCATTTTGAGATCATTCTCATATAAGTGTCCTATTCCAAATCTTATAAGTATCACATATATTGTTTATGTACATAGGAAACAAGGGTGGACCTAATGCACTCCCCCGTATAAATCCACTGGTTATTGGTCTTGGTGATGAAATACAGTCGTTGTACTTAACTATTTGTTGGCGCCCATTTAGGGATAAAGTAAACCTTGAATGTAGTGGGTTACTGATTCCAAATGACTTTAGTTTAAGGAGAAGCCTTCTGTGTGGGACCTTATCAAAAGCCTTCTTAAAGTCAAAGAAAAGGACAGATACTAGAGCCCTTTGTCCTGTTTAAGCGTAATATCATTGAAGTAATCTAGGAGGCATATGTCACTCGACCAAGACCTCAAGAACTCATGATGTGAGGTCGATATCAGATTGTTACTAAGTAGATGTTGTATTAAATCTTCCTTCACTACTTTCTCCGTCACCCTAGATACTACTGACGTTATGTTGATGGGCCAGTATTCTTAAACATTCGCTGTATGCCCAGATTAAATTGTGGGGATGATATGTTTAGTCTCCCAGTCAGTAGGGTAACACTCTGTGTATCATTCACCTTATTCCGATCCTCATATATTAGTCTGGATGTTTGCCGTGGACTTGGTTACCCTACCCAGGAGCCTGTGGAATCATTAGCTGATGAATATCAACCAGACCTTTGCACATTTACCGCATCAATTATTGTCATGCATCGTTTCGCAGTCAATAAGATGACAGTCGTAACGCAACCTTCGTAACTCGCGCCAATTATTCACATTGTACATTCCATCTATGGTAATCCAATGAATCTAGTGAAATTTTTCAGTGACTGTATACCGTTTCAAAAGAAATATGTTGCTAATCTTAACATTTTGATCTTGCCTGTAAATTGGCATGTCTCTTGTAACATGTTCGTTATTTGAGAATAAATTATTATTATTATTATTAGAGTGATACAGTAAATAGTTTAAGAAGAATAGCACACAGATCATTGCTCCCATTTTTCAGCATGCTGGCTGCGATACCATCTGGTCCTTCAATGTATGAGTGCTTCAGTGTACTAATCGCCTTAGAAATGTTCTGTACACTAAATTCAACACTAGCGAATTCACAGGCAGGAATTTGGGTCAGATTTGATTCATTTGTTGGGATTTCGTTTGTTGGTGTAGTACAAAAGTGTTCGCTAAACAGCTGTGTGATACTTTTACGGTCTTCAAACCCTTGGTTGTCCTTAATAAATATGCTCCCTCCTTTCAATTTAGAGCATTTTAGTTTATTTTGAATGCGTTTAATAAGTGTGGAAGATTCATTGTTCAGCTGGATAGCACTCTTTTCCTGTGCGACTGCCTTTTTAGTACGTATTATCTCTGCCTCGACACGTATTTCAGTCATCGTTGCTGATGAGGAGAAATCATTACAGTTATGAAGTCTGGAAGCATGTCTTCGAAGACGTTTTCGTATATGACCTGGCATACATAAGTCCTTCGAAATTCTGGGTCTCCAGGATCCCAAGTGTGCAAACTTATTGGATATATTATTTAAGTTGCGATAAAATACACTTATTAGTTCATCGGTATTGTTGGTGGTAAAGTAGTTAGTCCAGTCAATGCTTCTGAGGCAATTTTGGGAGTTTCCCCGATCAATCCCACGAAAGTCCCTACGAAGTGTAGTGGATTGACGTTTTGTATTTGTCGTTCCTACATCAAGGCTGCATATTACGATGTTATGACCGCTACTTGAGAACATTTTTCCAACATATACAGAATTAGGGATGAGATTGCTGGTAAAAATTAAATCCAATGTATTTGGATTTCTGGTCTCGGTCGTTAACATGTTGAGTCCACTCTCCAAGCTCTGAGCATTCAATAAATGATTCGAATCGTCTAGGTACTTTGATCGGGAACCAAGAGATTTCAGGCATGTTGAAGTCCCGACAAATAGCATTGCTTGTAAATGGTAGGGATGAAACAAACATGAATACTTCTGAAAATAAGGCCACATCTCCTGCTTTTACTTTAGGCCAACGGTAGACTTACATGAACAGTAAGGAAGCCGCATTTGAGGATTTCAATACGATCCACACAGAATCTGGCAATTTGTTTATTCCCGAAGTATCACGTAAGAGTGAGTTTAGGCTAGAGTGGGAATGTATGAGGCATCCTCCATTTCTTCATTGTAACCTATCACTCTGAAACGGATAAGTGTTTTCAAGAGATATAGTTAGATCAGAAATATTACTGAAGGTCCATACCTCAGTTATCATTATAAGTGATGGTCGGCAAATAGTGGCAAATATGACTGTCTTTTTATTACAGGTCGAACGAGCAATAATAAGACATATAATAAACAAATATCCCACTTAGCTAAAATAGTTTACAGCATATTGAGTACAAGAGTAACTATGACCTACGTGGGTGTGTTGTGAGGAGTTGGGGACATGTTAAACAAGTTACTGAAACTTACCGGAGGGGTCGTTAGCCCGGAGGAAAGGGGATGACAACAGGATTACTTCCACAAGGTATGCCAAATCTTAAGTTACTCTTAAGTTAGAGGGTTTGCCTTCGGTTACGTTTCGACTCTTCAAGGGACTTCACAATTCGGCCCCAGTACTGCTCATTCTAAGTATTGCACAGTATCTGTCCCACTGTTCTTTATCAGTGGCAGACCTAATTTCTAGGAAGCTACACTCCCGTACTGAGAAGCTACGTAAAATCAAGTTAATTTGTTTTACATCTTCATCTTCGATCAATAGCATTTTGGCGGATATGTTGTTACAACATCCGTCTCTAACGCTCACCCACTGCTCGATGCTCTTAACAAATATCGGGATATTTACAACAGTCGATGGCTCCGTTGATGTATGCGACTGAATTGTATTTGCTTCGGGTGCCCGTTTAGCCGGTCTTGTTGAGCGGATTAACATGTTTTCTTTTAGTGAGGATTTATGCTACTCTTCTGTTAGTCCGATTGATTGATTTTACACCATGGGAAAACATACCAGAACTACGAAAAAATGTGACTGTATACGAACTCGTCTGAAAAATTTTACCTTTTCCGATTATTGAGGTACTACAAATATATTATTTCCCTTATTAACTGAAATTATGAAGGGCATCCCCAGTAGTGATATCTATATCTTTTCTACCTACCTGCCTCACTCTAAGTAGAGAACTGGACGGGTGTCTGATCTTTATTTCTAATTGGAGACATAGTTGAGGAGATCAAGTCGAATGATCTGCTTTGTCCAGATTGCCATGGTTCTCAATCTTCTGTGTCATTTTGAGATTTTTCACAATCCGACTGACAGAAACTAAGATTTTCAACCGAATACTAACCCTTGTCTTTGAATGACTAATTTTTTTGCTAGTTTTTATAGTGTTAGTACGGATGGCGACCCTGTCAGTCTAAATTTTACCCATAAGACTCAGAAGTAAACTCTGAAACAAGCTGAAGTGGAAATTAACCAGTCTCTAAGTTTCGAAGGAGCAAAGTAATGACAAAAGTAAGTGAGCATACACAATACAAGAATAGAACCTGAAAGACAATTGAAATTGCTCCGCTACCTTTGACGATCCTAGCAAACAAATTTACGTGGACCCAATAACTTTCCACAACTACTGTGTTTATGAGTCAGTGAGTTGAAGTCGCCATTGAAGCAACAGTTAATCGAGGCAGCTAGTACTATCTCATAGGTTCAAAATTGATATGATTGTGGTTGACAAATATTTTATACTGATTATCTACCAATAAAAAGATACAAAGTTAGTCTCCTTAGAAGTGTTTAAACATTACATTTTGGTAGTAAAATCTGAATTATTTCCCACTGATAGTGAGGGATCAGGGAAGTACAGTTAGACTTCAAGATAGCTCATCGTATTAAAAAAAGACTTAGGTACCTTCTTATGTTATTAAGTTGATTTTCCTCAACGAAGTAGAATGTCCGGATATCAGTAGTTATAACTTTACCATGTTGGAGGTAAACTGGTAGAAATATGGTAAAGAAGACGGTCGAAATTTTGTTGTTCCGGAGAAAACGACTGTTTCGAAAACTAAATAAATAATTTAGCTGATTAATTATTTAAAAATACTGGCAGTGTTAAACGATCGGGTGGCGAGAATAAGAGGGGAAACACAGAAGTTAAGTAGAGAAATAGAAGCAAGCTGCTGATATCCTATGATAACAGTAGGTAAGCTACGAGATATACCTAGGATGCAGCTATTCGAAGCAGGAAATGATAATCCATGGGTCGGTGTTCGTCAGATCGCATAACGATATCCATTAGGAAGACTTTATTCACTATGGCTGGGAGAGTATTCCACGTGAGAGCAACTTTTAAAGTTAAAAATGCATGGCACACCTAGGCGTTTAATTTTTCAATTTTTCAAGGGTTAGCTTGAAGGGCGTATCAACGACGTTCTGATATGACGCTGCAGTGTGTTTTGGAGTACGTATCATGTTCTATGCTATTACCAGATAACTTATTCGCTTTTGTCTCACCAGGAATAGTACTAAAAATTCCAGTAATAACTAGGGATTAACAAAGCTTTATCTATCGACACTTTTTGAACTCTATCAAACCAGAATTCGCGAATGCAGGATATTGAAGGTATTTTTCGAAGTTAGTCAGTTGGTCCCAGCTGACTACTTGTTACAAAATACACGTAGCGCGTCACACCAAATTTTGGCAAGGTGTGAATGCATAATCGATAGCCTTCAGCCAGTGCGTCACCATTAAAATTATTGAAGCTGGGATCTCTTTTGCAAATTAACAAAGATATTTATTTTGGGGACTTTATTCACTGTTGCATGTGTAAGATCTTATACATATGTAGTATTTACTAACATTTATCATCTCTTCAGTCTGTAGAAAATAAAAGAGTCAGAAAATTGATATCCTGTGGGAATTCTGTTCTTAAAAGCAAAAGAAAGAATTTAGGTTGAAAGAAACATTGAATACTTGCTACAGACGAGGGAAAGAGCCTAGCAAAAGTGGATGGTTAATCTGAAAGATTTCGACCGTAGTTTTAACCCCACATTTAGAAATAGATGCAGTGCCAAAGTTCAAACTGATAGGAGCCACTTCCAGACAAACCTAGCTGTCGAAATACAGGCAAACTCCAAGCATCGGTTTTAGTTAATGACAAAATGAAAACCTATGAATCAGGTTTATGTTCCCTCAGAGGCTTGGATAGAGAAGAACTCACCATCGTGAAGATGACTGAGATCTTCAACACCAATTTCAACGATCGGTTAAACCAGACATCCACATGTTCAAAGTATCACTCAAATCCAGTGCCAGCTGAGAGTTCCGTATTATTCCTAACTTATTACTCAAGAAACAATAATCCTTACGCCCAGGAAAGGCCTTACGGCACGACAATATCCGCCCTACAGTCTTGAAACAGTGTGCAGAAGCCGTCAGTTTACCGAAATGTGACCTGTCCAGTCATTCGCTGGAGTCACACCAACTCCCAACTGAATGGAAATAAGCTACTCTCTCAATCCAACCTTTAAAGGAGGAGTTAGGAAGGATCAAGCCTGTCATAGACCAGTCGCTGTACTATTAATACTATCGCGGGTATTGCAGGTCTGCTGAACGAACAAATGAGGGAGCATATGGATAAGAACAAAACCTCCACGAAGCTCGATAATTGTTTCGGAAAGGCAGGTCGTGCGCATCCAATTTTCTCATAGTATGGGACAAATGGGCATCCTCTTGAGACCGAAAAATACCAGTGCACATAAAATTTCTTGATTTCGCAAAATGTTCACACAGTAACCCACGCACGCCTGATAGCAAGGGTTGCGGAAACGACACATCATGTACAGTCTGCCCCACATAATGCTAAAGATTTACACTGTCGACAGAAGTTCGCCGTTTGATGTCTCCTCAGAGCGCGATCTGGGTTTATTAACTACTGAAAGCCTCCAGACCAGCACGTACTATATAGGGGAAGCAACCAAGGCAAATGCAACTCTTCACTTTATGCGAAGACAAATCGGTTCAGTCACCACACAATTATTTGTGACGTTGATCATGGCGCATGCGGGTTCAGAGCTTCAGGTTCAAAATGTCGTCGCATACTCTCTCCTCAAAAAAGACATAAATCCTCCGGATCGAGTGCAGAGAGGAGCAACAAAATGGGTGATAGAGTTGAAGAATACAACTTACGATGATAGACTACGGCACTTGGGATTATTTTCTCTGAGTTACAGGAGAATCACAGGTGATATGATAGTGGCGAACAACATATTAGGCACGACAAACCATCCCGTGAGAACCTTACTGACGCATCACCACCACTCATCAGACAGCGGACACCTAGGTTCGTGCACACGTTCTCTCACTAAGGGTCTTTGTAAATTGGAATGCTCTCCCAGCCGAGATGACCACAGCCCCCTCAGTAGACAGCTTCAAGAAGAGACTTGATAAACACGTACTCACATAAGGATTATCTTTTTCTCGTGGACAAGCTGAGCCTGATACATTGCTAGTTGTTGTTACTGCCATCTCCTCAGATCACTAACTTAACCTGTCTCAATTATTGTCTCTGTTTCCTTTCCTTCACTTGCATATCAGTTCTCTTGCGCAATATCCACTGCTAGTTACTTAACTTAATTATTAGTTCATTTTCTGAGGTCTGTAGTCGTATTAGCATTAGAATTTTCTCTTTATTATTCTCCACATCGCAACTAATTGATCTCCTGACCGGTGATGTGATAGCTGCTGGTGTACAGGAAATATGCTGCCCTTAAATAAATGTATTCATTCAAATCACGGGACTTACAAACTCAAAGACAGTTGTCAACTGACTCGAATTAGTGCAGTCCAGTTGCCAGAACCCCATCATTTGACAATACAGAATATCTGAAACCGTACTGAAAGAAGAAGAATAGAACTCAGAGAAATCAAATAGTTTATACTACCTCATGAAAAAGATATTGGATGGTAGATTGGGTTTGGACCCTTCTATTATACTTTAAATCTATCAAATACATAAATTATAGCACAAACAAACGCGCTCTTTTGGATATTCCTTTCTGTTTTCGCTATTCTGGATGTTTATTTACATAATTAATTTGGAGTATCTATGCAGGATCAATCAAGAGTCCAGAAGTTTGCGCGTATGGTTAAGGAAATGTTTGTGGATCCTGACGAATTAGAAACGCTGACAGAACATGAAAAGGCTGCTTTATTCTCCGCTATTAGATGCGTATGCGAATACTGTAGCATAATATATATTTTGTTTTACCAGGAACAGATCAGGCGTTATAAACTGTGGCTGGCTAATCAGGAACTCCATTCAAGTAAGTGCGAGTAAAACAATCAGTCACTATTGCTACCGATTTAAATAAAGTTAGTATCTTCCTCAACTGAAATATAATATTAGTGAGATAAAGGCTTTGTTGGCTCTATAATAATAAACGTTAGATGTGTTTACCTTTCAAGGATAATGATATTATAATTATTGCACAAAAATAATTTTGTCTGTTGATGATTATATATGATAAGTAATCGGTTCTGTCCTTGTGAATTTATTGGTTTCCATACATAGGTTCTTGAAAGTTGCCATTGGGTCATATGGATATTGTTACCAGTTCAAATCTAATGGTCTTTCTTGATAACCAAAGTAGTTTTAATCCTGCAGCTGCTTCAAAATTCCAGTAGTCCATATATTTGCGACTGTTTAAAACATTTACATCAGCTCTTATTGTAGACAGGACTTACATACCTGTATACATTACACAAGCTGTTCAACCAAATAGCGTAAATGTTCCAAGAAATATGTTGTTAGAGCTCTATTTATTGAATAACAGACAACAGATAAATTAACATTGTCAATTGTGTTTATCTATGTTTTGATAGTGTTAAGCATATCACGATTGCAGATATATTTGACTTACATCATAGGCTAGTTGAAACTAAAATATTTTAGCATTTGTTACAATAATTTTACTAGTTGTTTTCAAAATCCTTGCGATAGAATTTCACTAACCATAGGGCGAGAAACTCTTTTTATCTTGGGCATTTAGAAAATTTTTTTATCGCATTTTATCTTTTAAACCTAGCTGTGTACTTCCTAACTGTATGGTACTACCGAATAAACTTGGTCTATATGTTTGACAACCTAGGGGACTCAGATACCATGACTTGAAATGATTTTCTCACACTATAGCTATCATGATAAAAAGTTTGCTTTAAGATTGTTGTCTGTTACATACGAAAACTGTCAATCTTTTAGGAGATAAACAAGCTAAAATACTTAAAATCCTAAAACTCAGAATTACAATTTCGTTAACAACTTTTTACCTTTATTAGTTATTTCCTTTCTTTAATATCAGTTACTAGATTTGATGGGCATTTAAAATCAATAACTTCGAAGATGAGTACTTAAAATATTCACATTCATGAGTAACTAGGCATGAAATGTATATGCGTTTTTTATCTACCATATATTTTATTAATGTTTGTTCAATACATGTCTTTTTACCACCCACACCAAAGCTGAAGAAAAATCATCTTTAAAAAATAATAAGCTTAAATGAAGCGAATTCTAACACTTTTCTGTGAGTTTACTAACTGTTAAGTCTTGGTGCGTTTAGAACAATAAAAGTTTTGGTAGAATTTAAAACAGCAACTGAAATCAAGGGTTGATAGCTCGATGTAGTATGCTTAAACCATAGTTACAGAAGCACAGATCCTTTGATTCAGTTTCCTTAGTCTGGTTGTGTACCACTCTTTGGTTTGTGACTTTATTGTTTGCTTTAACTAAATTGTTTTTACAATTTTCGGCCCTTTCCTTTGACTGTTACCACTGTTTCTTCGTTCTTATTTGTCTCTGCTTGATCAAATTTTCGCGGTAAAAGGGGTGATAAAAATGAGATTTAACTAACTAATAGATTTAAAATTCTAATTCTTAAGTCCTATGAATATAATGCTAACATTTTTCCCCTCGACAAGTTTGAATTTCGATATTTAGCACTGAAAACATCAAGCAAATGCAACTTTTAGAAAATAACTCACAGGAAGACATAACTCAACAGACAATTTGTATCTAAAACAGTTCAAGTCAGTCGGTAATTAAATTCTCAAAGTTGTCATTTTCACCATAACTTTCCAAATATGAAATGCAATGAAACTAGCCACGTATACGTTGTTATTGAGTAAAACCAGTCCTAAGGAACAAATTACGAATTCTACTAAACATAGGCAATAAAATTTGAATCTTTAACGGATAATGCAAATTATCGCTGATAACTTCAGGGCTGTTTTGATATACTTTCAATGCTTACCGTGTTATGATGTTTATTAAAACATAGTAGATAAATATGATCCTTTTTATTGCTAAATACTTTATAAGTTTTGTTGACAAAACAGTTAAGGTAGCAAAAAAGACACCCAATTAAATATACATAATCATACAAAATCTCATTAACCACACATGTTTAACAACCAGGCGCCATTGAAAAACTAGTTTCCCGGATAAAAATATATATTTGATGTTTCATTTATAAAAAAAGGTAAGTAAGTAGTTTTAAGACAATGCATTCTGTTATTTTAACTCTGATAAGCGACTTTGTTTATTCCACTTTTGATTGAATGAGTTTACATTATAGCAGCATCATAAGTGATCAAATTATTTTCTAGATATCAGTAACTAGAAATACTAGGCAATTAAAATCAATGATAAGCATCATATGCTACAAATAAGTTTAACAGATCCCATTTTAGATAACTTTCTGATATTAAATGCCACTGTAAACTTGCCAATTAATTCAACTAATGAGATGTGAAAAGTATGAAACACCCCCCCCCTCAGCCCATCATTCCATACCGAACTGATGTTCAACATATCGATTAATTACATTTACATAAGTATCTACTCAAATACTTTTTCTTGTCTTTAATAATCCTAGAAAGTTCGATATAGGAAAATAAGTATCAAATGAATTTTGTGTTATATATTTGTTATTTTAAAATCAACTGATTCACCATCTTTCATTCATTTAATGTCTAAACTTGATCAACCTAATCATCCGTTAACTTAGTCATTCCTTCTGTATATGTATTTATCCTACTAATAATGACCAAGAGCACATTCGATCACTAGAATTTTTTAAATATTAACACAGCAAAGGTCAAATTCATGATGAAAGACTGTTTAAAACTGAACTATAGAATTATTATTTTATTCTTGAGTAATAATGCTGTTTCTATGTTCTTAGTTATTTATTCTAAAATGTTTTCATATTCAACCGATTAATATTCACATTATTTGGCATATATATATTATCACGTATGGTCCTTATTTCTATTCGATCAATGATAACTCTTACGATATCACGTTACGTAAAGCGTGTACACTGATTTTAATTGACTATTACTATTATTATGTTTAGGTTGTAAGCAGCTGAAGAGAAATGGTGAAATAAAATAAAATTTATGCTATTCTGCTACATTTATTGTTTTTTTGGTTTATTGAAATTTATTACTGGAAAAATCTTTATGAGATTATTTCAATTTGGCCAGTCACAAAAAGTCAATACTATTGTGGTGTGAGCTACTTATAAGTAGTATATGACGTGAGTGTCAACGTAATGTCTGGCAGCAGAAGATGAGGGAAGATCAAGAAAGGAAGAGTTTTAGAAAACAATGGAATTTGTATGGAACGCATGAATAGTGACAATGGATTGATTTTATGCAACAGGAACAGTCCAGTACGATATGATGAACTGATATTTTGCAAATGAATGATTTACGATATGGTTTTCCGATTTTACTGAGTAACTCTGTAATTTTCGTTAAATCCGATTTTGTTGCCCCACCTGTGTTCTCCTTCACTACACTATTATTTTTCCAGCTATCAGTGGAATTGAAAACAAAATATTTCCTACAAGAATCTCATTTTGCATGTCAAGTAATTGAAGTCACTGAAATTTATACAGACATGATAGTTCAGCAATTTAACAAACTTCTTTGAACAGTTGTATCCAATAATTTTAACGTTTTCATCAATAATGGTATACAGAATCATATTCGTGTATTTTCTTATTTCTTTCAGTAAGAATGAAATACATAGTTAAACCGAGTAATTTTTGTATGATTTCATAGTACTGGTGATTCGATAGTGGCTTAGTAAGTTTATTGAGCACACTACCATTACTCTGCTCATTATTATAGATCTATCTAGAGAGTTTTTGTCACTGATTAGCATTAGCTGAGAAACAATGAAAAACCAGAAATCTCCGGGCAGCTGTTCTTTTTGAAAATGGGACCTCCTCACAATGAGCACAAATGATCCCTTTGTAGATATCAACCCGGGTCTTCAGTGACTTTATATTGAATAACTGTCAAACATTGTTGATGATGATACCTAATATATATACGTGGAATGGTTAAAATTTGCTAATCATAAATCCCTTTTCTAAATGGTTGAGCTTATGAAAGAAAGTCACTGAATCCATATTCAGATATCTGAATAGAACACACACGCTAAGAGTTAACAAGCTTCCTTAAAGATTCATGTGTATTAACTTCTGTGAAATTCTAAAATAACAATGTAACAGAAATGCATTGCTCCCTACTTTTGAATAAGGTTCACTCAGTAATGTGTACACTATCTTTAAATTTGAACAAGTCTCACTCTAATTATCTTGTATGTCTTATGGAAAGTAAATCATTAGCTGTTAAAAGTTTTACTAACAGTAAGATCTCTATACTATGCAAGTTAAATATCAAGATGATACATAGCTGATTGAATAAACAACTTATGAAATGTTTCATATTATTTCTTTCTACTCAGTGTAATATTTTATTTACTAAGAGAAAAGAATGAATTTTATCAAATAGTAAAGATTAAGTTTACTTGAACACTTGAACACTTGAACACATTATTAGTTTAAATAAACACATAGTTACTATGAAATATACACTATACAACCATGCTGTAATTTCTACCTGTAATGAATTTCACCATTATGTCATGCGTGATTTTTAAAATGGGTGGATATCAACAGTCATACTGTAGTGAAGGAGAACACAGGTGAGAGCAACCGAATCGTATTTATCTCAAACTACAGAGTTACTCAATAAAATAGGAAAACCATATCGTAACCGTTAATTTGCAAATCTTCAATCAATCATCAATCCATTTTCTGACATTTCACTATTCATGAGTTTCATACAAATTCCATTGTGTTCCCACTCTTCCTTTCTTGATCTTCCCCCATCTTCTGCTACCAGACATTACGTTTTCACTCATGTCATATACTACTTATAAGTAGCGCGCACCACAATACCAATTGAG